ATTCTCTTCTTTATCTTTCGTCCGTTTATCGACATAGATCAGTTCCTAATGCAGCAACTTGCATTCTAAATGTGACATAGTTATCTTAAACATTCTTAAATTTTAATTCATCATCGCCTAGTTACTAGCCGGTCCTAAGCCCGGGTAAAGAAAGAAGGTTGGGCGTAAGGTTAGCAACCCTACCGCGTAAAACCAATCCAACCGCTAAAGAAACTTCAAAACACAAAAAAATATAGAAAAAATAAAAACGAAATTATTCCTCGCTGGAATCAGAGAGGCGAAATGACGCCGGTTGGTGAAGGGCCTTCGGGAAGCCAATTGGCCGATGTGTCTTCTCTCGATGAAAGCGAAAGTAAACATGGGGACATGGAATATCCACACTATATTTGAACCTAGCAAAGCTGCCCAGATTGCAAAAGAGATGAGAAGGTATCACATTGAAGTGCTTGGAATTTGCGAAAGCAGATGGAATGGGAGTGGACTCTCCAAACTGTCAACTGGAGAGGAGTCAATAATCTACTCCGATATTGTCACTCAGACGACAACCACGAGCACACAGAGGGAGTGGCTATCATGATGTCCCCTTCAACAGCATCGCAGACTCTCATGCAGTGGGAACTAATCTCCTCCTGCAGGATCATAACAGCAAGATTCAACGTACCTACAAATAATGAAGAGAAGAAGGAGGAATTTTATAGACAACTTCAATCAACACTGGAAAGGACCTCAGTTGATGACATCAAAATTCTAATGGGTGACATGAATGCAAAACTGGGAGCAGACAACACAGGGAGAGAACTCATCATGGGTAGAGAAGCACTCGGTGAGATGATGAACGAGAATGGAGAATTATTTGCAGAATTCTGTGCATTCAACAATTTGGTGATTGGAGGCAGTGTGTTCAAGCACAAGGATATCCACAAAGTGACATGGATTTCACTAGATGAACACTAAAAATCAGATCGACTTTATCTCAATGTGAAGAAAGTGGAGACGCAGCCAGCCTACTTGACACAAGGTCAAGAAGAGGAGCAGATGTAGGTTCAGACCACTATCTAGTGCAAGGAACCTTCAAAGCTTCGAAGAAGTTGGTGATAGACCACAGTTCAAGTACAACACTCGGAAACTGAAGGATGAAACTACAAAGGAGATCTTCACGGCAGCCATCAAGACGAAATGGGAGATATCGAGGAACATCCCTGCAGAAACCTGAGTGGAAGAACACTAGAACTCTTTGAAAGCTATGTGGAAAGAAAGCTGCATAACCATATTAGGAAGGAAGAAGAAAATAAGGAATGGATCTCGACAGATACATGGAAGCTGATAGAGGAGAGGAGGGAGAGGAGGACGGTGAAGCAGAAGATAAACCAGTGCAAGGATGAACAACGAGGAGAGTAACTGAGTACAGTGTATAAAACACTGGATAGAGAAGTGAAGAGTGCGCGGAAAGACAAAAGATACTTCCACGACACACTTGCAAGTGAAGCAGAACAGGCTGCTGGTAGGAGAGACCTGACAACACTGTATCAAATAACCAGGTTGCTATCGGGGAAGCGATCAACACAGATAAAACCAATAAAAGATGATGAAGGAAATATAATTACCAAAGAAGAGAAACAAGGGAAACGATTGGGTGACCACTTCAAAAAGCTCTTGAATCGACCACCACCTGGACTTCGTCCAGAAATACCACATGTAGCCACAGAACTACAAGTAAACATAGGCTTCTGGGCTGTCGTGGAACCAGGTTCAAAAGATTTTCGAGAACAGAGTGCACTGGAGAAGTGCTACTGAAGCTCTATGTTCCATTAGGAACCCAAGGGAAAAATAATAAATAATGACATAATAATAATCAAGAGACATTCCATCCTGTCAGTGATTTCGTCTACCACTCATTCTAATTCAGTTAACCAATCTGTTGTTATGACATCAGTCTGTGTAAAATCAGATAAAGAGATGAAGTTCTTCGTAAGAGCATTTATAATAAGCTATGTAGTAAAAGTGTGAGTAAACATCCTCGATAGACACTATTGATAAGTGCCAACAGGTTAGAAACTCAAATTCGACATAGCTTCTTCTGTAATTGACTTGAAACACTTGAAATCACAAAAAAACTCATGTAATGATGGTTCTATCTATCATTTACTTAGGTCAAGATAAAAAAAAAAGCATCATGAAATTCTCTTTAAGCTTTACTAATCGAAAAAAAGTGACTGATCATTTTATGTATTTGGTATATAAATAAACCACTTGTAATCTGTATAATGAGTAGGTTTACTTGAGTTTTAAAACGTCATCCACTATGTTAATCTCTATGATCTGTACATATTGTGAAGCAAACTGAGCAAAAGTGATTTCTCAGAACAGATTAATTTCAAAACTTCTAACTTCATAGGAATTGATCTACTCTCTTGGAATATACAGACGATATTATCCTGCAAGTAGGAGTTGTTGACAGATGACAGGGTCTTCTGAACTGAATACGTTAAGCGAACATCTGAATGTTTTGGTGTACGATTCGTATCTCTCAAATGTAAGATGATGCTCCAGGACTAACTGGTCTCCAACTACTCCCGTTTAAATGATGTGATGGAATGCATCGACCGCTTCACTCACTGGAAGAGTTGTATCTCCTCAAACGGGCTGGTTGCTGTCGAAATCTCAGCTTGGATACAGAAGGCCTGTTTGGTATTCGCCAACTGGCGAGATATTCGACCGACTACTTGTCAAAGGACGAATAAACTGCTCTACAGTCTGTTCTTTCCTATTATACGGCTGTTATAATAGTAGAAAATGTGAAGCGGTTGCAGGGTTTTGATCACAGGTGTCTTCATGGCATTGATCGCGTTTGGTGGAATCACTGCGTGAACAAATAGTGAGGTCAGGTGAACAATACTGGACAAGACAGGCAAGTTGATTGATGAAGTTTTGAACCTTCATCGTCTGAGATGGCTTAGGCATGTCATACCCCGGCCTACTTTGACTTACCATATTAGGAGAAGTAGAATTAAGTTGGAAGAGAGGTCAGGGTGACCAGACCAAAATATGGTATCAGTCGATGATGTCTCTGCCTGTTGGTCTGAGTTATGTGGGGAGATATAGATTGCCTGGATTTAGTCCTCAAGACGAAAGAAATCAATTGTTGAGGACTTTTGGTGACATAGATGAAAATTGATCACATTGACGCACATGTATTCACTCCGTGACATCTAATGCTCGAATACTCCTACTAACCTTTATCCCTAGATTGTTTCTTCCATCACACAACTTTGTCTACTTTGCTCTCTTTTGATCCATCTGTTCTTTATATACTACCGTGAAGTATGTGACAACTTGAAGCGATACATCGTGTGCGAGATTCTACGTTGATTTTGTCTGTCTGATTCAGTTGCATGGTCTGTCAGACCCCATCAAGGGAGGCAATCGTCGTGAGGCACCAATAGACGCTAACTTCACACCATTTTCTTTCATCTTGCAGTGCACCTTTCTGGCACCAAAATCCAACTAGGCCCAAAATAAACAGATTAAATTGAATTAACTAAGTTAACTTCTAGCTTGCTTCTTGATACCTAAGATGTTTTAAATTTTGTTTTACTGAGCATGCATCCGAGCAGGTTTTGACGCCATTTTGCTCTCTCTTTGTACTGGTTAACATTCACATCTTCAGAGTCCCCAGCTCAGGCATATTAGCCAGATAAGTTGGTTAAACTTTTCCCCTAATAATCGCTCCCATATTTATTCTACTTAAATATGTTTCTCCTTCGAATATACTCCTGAATTGTGGTTTTTTGATTTGTATTTTGGTCTCAGTATTTACACTTTAGGTAAGGTACTGATTAAGCAGGTACTAGAGCACATCGAGTTAAGTTGGGTTGATTAGGCGCTATGTAATAATAACACGCCCAATCCCCTACAATCTTATGGTGTCATGTCACACACTGATTACCTTTCTACTTCTTTTAACCAGTCCCAGGGAAAGCAAACAGTGAATGGTATGAGAGCTACTGAGATGCAGTTTGTAATACCTATTGAAGCTATTGAAGCCGTTTTCTTAAGATAACTATACTCAATTAATGGCAAATTTCCATAACGCTTGAACACGCCATCTCATCTCAGAACTACCTAAATGTTGTTTCAATCAGATGACAAAATTTGTGGAAACTACAGAATCTTTGGAAATACTCAGATCGGAGAGGCCAATTTTCACAAACACAGAACAGAATTACCCCTATCGATATATTGTATATTCAACCTTTTACAGCAAGATTGAAGTGACCATATCGTCAAAATTGACCCATATTTCTGTATGTCGCTATGGTTTTCAATATACAGTTTGAAATGTGATTAGTTACACCTCCACAAGTATTAAAATCTGTTGAAAGAAACGAAGAGATGTAACTAGTGTATGATTTCACACCGTGTGACAGATGACAGTTGTTTTCGATTAGCATTCCTAGTTGCCTACGCTCGTTACTGAAAATCAGATGGCCAGAAAGAATAAGCAGCAAGGAATTCTGGGAACGAACCAACCAAGAAGCTACCGCTCAACAAATATGCACTGGAAGGAAGTGGAGATGGATTGGGCGTACACTGAGAAGGTCGACTGGGGACATCACACATCAGGCCAGGCCGTCGAGTGGAACCCAGATAGGAAGCGACTAGTTGGGCGTTGGAGGCAAGGGTGACATGAAGGAGATCGTGTGAGGAAGAAATGAGAGCTTGTGGGCTGTCGTGGCGACAGGTTCAAAAGCTTTCAGAGGCGAGAGTGGAATGGAGATGTGCTACTGAAACCCTATGTTGGATTAGGAACCCAAGACATAAATAATAATAATAATTTCCAGTTGCCTTACAACTTCATCCGATGCTGACACGTCAGACGACTTGAGATACTTCCAAATCGCGACTCATGAAAATCAATCGATTAGGTAGTTTTATTAAAAGTGTAGTGAATTTAAAGCATATTCTGAAAAACATTTCCTTTCTATATTTCTGTTTTAAAGACATGCAAAATGTGGCCTTTTACAATGTCAAGGCGGTAAACCTAGACCAACATCTTTAGAAGCTCAATCTGGTCAACCATTTGTCACATATACAGAACATCATGGACGTCAGTTTGAATGCAAGTGAGTTCTCTAGGGATTTTTTTTTCAACACGGTAGGAACAACTTTTTTATTATTTACTTTAGTTTGTTTGTATCGTACTTAGTAGTGATTCACCGTCTACTTCAACGTGCCATACATGCTATGGGAAACTGGATTAGGTTAGAAGAAGCTGCAGAGTGACAAGATCGAAACGTGGCATCAGTCGATGGCGCAGATGTATTCATTACTCTCTGATGTCTTTCAAAGCTTAAATATTTGCAGTGATCTTTATCTTCAGATTGTTTATTCTGTCACATAACTTTGTCTACCTTGATATGTTTTTTTCTACCGAATTCTCCTTTGTATTGTGGCACCTTGAACCGATGGACTCGTACACAAAGTTCTAGGTTCATTTTGTCCGGCTGCGGAATACCACAAATCTTTATCAATCTCATTCAACAACTTTATGAAGAAGCCAAGTAATTCACAATGGGAAGCTCAGTGATCTCTTTGAAGTGAAGACAGGAGTGAAACAAGGCTGTCTACTATCACCCATGGTCTTTCTGATTGTGGTGGACTGGATCATGCAACAAACAGTGAGGAGCGAGAAGAGTGGGATACGCTGGTTGGACCGGGGGAAAGAACCTAGATTTCGCCGATGACTTATGTCTAATGTCTTGTGGCACAAACTTGAAGATCTACAAGCAAAAACTAACAAGTTGACAGAAGAGGCAAAGCACGGCAGCGAAGACGGGACTTCCTTCGTGTGAACGAAGAGAAGACAGAGGTGATGAGGATACTCAACCAATAACAACACGAAGCTTTAATCACCATCAACGGGGGAAACTTAAAGGAAGTAGCCTCTGTCACCTATGTAGGCAGCACTGTTTCAACTACAGGCGGCACAGGTGAAGACATCAAAGCTAGCCAGGATCGAAGAAACAAGACAGGTGTTCATTAGCCTGAAACCAGTGTGGAGATCTTCTGCAATCCACTCAGCACAAAGCGTGAACAAGATCCAGATTTTCAACACCAACGTCAAATCAGTGCTTCTATATGGTTGAGAGAGTTGGCGCGTTACGAAAGGGATTTCAACAAACTGTAGACATTCATGAACAACTGCCTACGCTGGCTCGTTACTGAAGGTCAGATGGCCAGAATAGTTAGAATAAGCAACAAGGAACTCTGGTTAGTTGGCCACCAACCAACGAAGCAAGAACCTATCGCTCAACAAATATGCACTGGAAGAGAGTGGAGATGGATTGGATTGGGCATGCACTGAGAAGGTCGACTGGGGACAACATGCATCAGGCCAGGCCGTCGATTGGGACCTAGATAGGAAGCAACGAGTTTGGCGTCCTAGCTGTGGGTGACATGGAAGAGATCGTGTGAGGAAGAGATGAAAGCTTGTGAGCTGTCGTGGCGACAGGTTCAAAAGATTGCAGAGGCGAGAGTGTAATGGAGACGTGCTACTGAGGCCCTATGTTCTACTAGGAACCCATTGGAGAAATAATAAATATTAATAATAATACTGGACGATGAGGTAAGTGGATAAACAAAGCTTAGACAAATACAGTAAGTATACGAAAAGGGGTGAATAATAATAATAATAATAAAACCTGAATGGTAAAGTTATTAACTAAGTAATCCCTGGCCAACGGAGGGATAAGGAATGTGCAAACTTCTTCTGAATACAAAGACTATGATTATTATCTCGAATTCTCACAGCTTCTGCTATGTGTAAAAGATGAGTTTGAATACCTTTCGGAAGATAAGATGGTATGCGGTGTATAATCGTGAAAGCAATGTTCTTATCTACTAAGTGACCCACTATCAATGAAGTGAGATAAAACTAAGCTTCTGAAGGATTTTATTTGTCTTTTTCCCAACCATGAAGGTAGATGCTCAGCAACACGTACGCCCTATGCAGCTGTTTCCACAAGAGTAACTAAACTTGTAAATACGCACATAGAAATGGAAAACTAGATAATTTATCTTTTGTCTGAGCAGTAACAATTGGTCGACTGGAAAATGATAGACAAAGTTGTATGGCGTAGAAGGTCGTTTTGGTGACTCTAGAGAGTCTCTGGGATAAAACGTCTCCGGCCACATCCCCATTAAATTGCAATTTCATAAATAAAGGTTTCTTTTGTATGATAATGGTACTAGGTTTGTCCCCCCCTGGCTATGTCCATGTGTCTTTTTATAAAACTGTTAGGGTAACCCATTTCAAGCAATAAATTATGAATATAATGTAACTCCTTCAGCACTTGATCATCCGAACATATTTTGGGAAAACTAGATAACTTATCTTTTGTCTGAGCAGTAACAATTGGTCGACTGGAAAATGATAGACAAAGTTGTATGGCGTAGAAGGTCGCTTTAATGGCTCTTGTGAGTCTCTGGTATAAAACTTCTCCCGTCAAATCCCCATTGAATTGCAATTTCATAGTAGTGGTAGTAGTAGTAGTAGTATTTTTCTTTTTGATCATAGGAAAAGACAAGACGTGGATTCAGTGAAGAAAAATTTTTTTTGTTGACGAAGTCATCTACTGCTAAGCTGTACATTCATGAATATATGTTACAGTGAATAGAACGTTCCAGAATTGTTTCCGGTTAGAGAGAAAAATATATTGAATGATGAAAAGAAGTTAATTAATACACATTTGTGTTTAGAGTGGGAAAATAGACAAGGGATTATGAGATTGAATGTAATTACGTAATAAAGGATGATTGAATGGCAAAGTAGGAAACTGAACGAAGGGTTATGGAGATAAAATTGCGATTATACAATACCGGATAAGCCTATGACAGAGTATGAGAATAAACACGGGATCATGAAAATAAGATTGTAATTACGTAATGCAGATTCAATCTAAGACAGAGTAGAAAAAATGAATAAGGTATACATGTGTAGTTCCTGTGACCCACAGGGCTTTATGATGGCTATGGCAAAGATAAAGGTTGAATGTACCTATTTTGCACGCTTAACTCTGGTTTGAACTTCTACATGGCTAGTGTTTCAGCCTGAGTTCATGAGGTGTTTTGTTATCGAACTGAAGATGCATTTCCGTTCTCCCTTTGTCAACCGGTCAGGCTGGGTAATGTTTTTTCTTTGGTTAAAATTATTCTTCAATATGATCATTTATTTCGCCTTTACTGAGAAATAAACTAGTCTTACAAAAGTGACTAATTTTAACTATACAAATAATTATATCAAATCAACTTGTCATTTCTATGATAAATTATCATTTTGTCTGCGTTTTATATACACAAAATTGATTATTCCATGTCCAAGGGAATGGTCATTTATTTCTACTTTTTTTTCTCTTCATCTCCCTTTCTTTCTATGTTCTCTTTCTTGGGAAGTTGAAAAGAAAACAAAAAACAAACGTTTTACCCCACGTTCTTTAAAAAGGAAACTGAATTAGTAGTTTGTAAACTGTTTGACATTGTTAACCAATATCTGTGGCTATGATTTTAGTTGTTATCTTTGGTGATGTTACCATTGACGGTGATGATACTGCCTATCTACTTACCAGCTACTTGAATATATATATATATATAAGAAAATTTTAAAACTTTTCTCAAATATACATAAACGAATTAGTCAGTGAGAAACAGTACTGTAGTTCAGTTCTCCTTTGTTTTTGTTTGAGCACGCATTCTCCCGGTCCTACAAACTAATAATTTATGAGACTAATTTATTACTTATATATATATATATATATATATAATATATATATATATATATATATATATAATATACATATATATATATATATATATAATGTAAAGTATTACAATTTATCAGAGCTTCCTGTTTGTGTGCGTGCGATCGAATTAGCTTACTAAAGCGATAAATAATAACTTTACCGATGACAAAAGGGTCTGTGTGTGTGTGTGTGTGTGTGTGTGTGTGTGTGGTGTGACCAACAGCTGATGTGTAAGAAAAGCATAAACCTCCTCGTCTCTATACTCAAAAAATTTCTAGGTTTTATCTCCTTCATCTGATTATTTATTTCTCATGGACTATAAAATTATTATTGTTATGGATAGTGGTTAGCAGTGGAATCCAGGATGTGCACTTCACCCTATTTAGGACTTGTCAGCTGCATGTACCTGTCTCCCAATAAGTGTTGTTGTTCTCACTGGGATTCGAACTCGCTACCGATTGCTTCAAGCGTCAGAACGTTATCCACTTCACCACCGAGCGATGATAGCCTCTTCTTGTGTGACAGGTATGGTTTTTGTATAATTGATTGTATTATACCGTCGTTGATTGGACCAAATTGAATAGAATATGGGCTCCTGTACGGATGTTTCGATATTACCTGTGTTCTAATTAGAGTAAAGATGGATAGTAGCTAGCAGTGGAAGAAGAGATGATGAGATTAAGCAGAGCGGTTAAGATGAGTATATTACACTGAGTCAGTCTCCAACCACTGGTTTCTCTTGTCCCGTGGACCCCAAACCGGCTAGTCTACATCTCCCTACTATCCACCATTACTCTAATTAGAATACAGGTAATATCGAGGCATCCGCATAGGAGCCCATATTCTAACAGAGACCGATCAATTCGGTCCAATCAACGATGATATAATACAACCAATAACATTAAAAGTATACCCGTCGCACAAGAAGTGGCTATTGTGGCTCGGTGGTGTAGTAGATAACACCCTGGCTATTGAAGCGATCGGTTGCGAGTTCGAATCCCGATGAGAACAACAATACTCACTAGGAAGCAGGTACATGCAGCTGATGAGTTCCAAATGGGACGAAATGCACATCCTGGATTCCACTGCTAGCCATTATCTATCATTACTTTCATAAGGGCACAGGTAATATAGAGGCAACCACACAGGAGTCCATATGCTAGTAGAGACCAATCAATTGGGTTCAATCAACGCCGATATAATACAAGCAATAATACTATTGTGTTGTTATTATTTTCGCTGTTTGTGGGGTTTTAGTGGTTTTCCAAGTTTTTATTCATCATGGACTGTGACATCAGTTGTAGGAACACTGAAAACCTGAAAGCACTGGATAGCTATGCTTCGTCCGGCTAGTATAGGACTCCTCAGCGGTGCGCACCCATGACCCCCCCCCCGCCGCATCATGGATTGAACCCAGGACCGTTAGGTTCCATGGTCAGCACGTTACCCTTAAGCCACTGCGTTGGAATTCAATGATCCATATTTCCAACTTTTATCAGTTCATGACATAGCACAACTATCACCCAATATCATCGTTGAGTATTTGTCCTCACGGCCAACAGACTTGCCCCACCGGCCATCACTTCTGAGTAAAACTTCAGGAATCACCTCTTGAAGCTGGTCACCAATGAGCACTAGATGAATTTGATTTGGAAGTTTGTGAGGATTTAGTGATTATTAGTATTATTATGGTTGACATTATCGTTGTGTGTGTCGAAGATATATGAAGCTACTAAGCGATACTAAAAGAGCTACGGCATGCTGATTAAGGCACCCAACTGTAACCTGATGGGTTACGCGTTCAAATCCAGTTATGTAGTACTGCTACTAAGTGACATACCAAGTGTGTAGTTAAATATTTAATGCGCGAACTTGTTGATTTGCTCTGAAAGATGATAACAGCTTCAGTTAAATAGTTGGTATAAACGTATGTGGCACCTAATAATACTATGCAATGGGTCAATTCGCCATATTTTACATAAGTTTTACCAAGAAAAATGTTATATGCTGACTACTATACCGGATAATGTATGAATGCATAAATACAAAAGGCCTAGGTTGACTTTTACCAACTTACGTCATCTGTGACGCCGCTGCGATATTTCATTGTCTATTAAGGGTCGAGTGTACTGTGTTGTGATACATGGCCATTAAAGGTAGAAGATGTGAGAAGGCTTCAGGTGTTTGACTATCATTGCCATTGTAGCATAAACCAAGTTTCATGATGTCACCACATGAGTAACACAGAAGTCAGATGTAGAGCTTTTGGGAGGAGAGGTAAGTCAGTTGAACCTTCATTGACTGAGATGGCCGGCTGGGACATGTGTTATGTATAACTAACCACCGTCTGCCTCGTTGTAGAACGTTGGCCGAACTAGGTTCAGGCTGGATGAAGGGTCGGGGTGGCCAGATTAAAACATGGCATCAATATGTGAAATCCTTGACTGTTGGTTTGAGGTATGTGAGGAGATGCAGACTAACCGGTTTGGGTTCCTCGCGAAAAGAGAGACCAATGGTTGGAGACTGCCTCTACATGACATCTTCATCTTAACCACTCTACTCAATCTCACTGTCTCTTCTTATTCTACTTCTTCGACCGATTTTCCTTTCCTTCTTCATCTTCCATTTTATTGCCTTGTTACTTGATGGTGCTGATATGAGGTAAGGTGTGACAACCTGGACTGTAATGGCTTGGTGATGATATGATGATGAATGCATCCATACTCTAATATGATTGATTCTGAGACTTATCACCCACAATCTCCAACAATTAGCTTCACTGGCAGCTTACATCTCTCTCTACATGGTTCATTGCTGAATGAGAATAAGTTTATGTTTAATAGGAGACATTTTTCTTATCTATACTAACTGTTCAAACATTTCTGAAGTGATCGAGTGGATTTAATTGAAAAAAAATATCATTTATATACTACAATTTTTCATGAATATAAAATACCACTAGGTCAAAAGTTAAATAGCTCATTCTGATTGGTCAACTGTAGAGTAAAATTCTCCAATAAGATTCTTCTCGACCACACAGCGATATAAAGCAAAAAGGCTTTTAACGGCTGATAACTTAAAATGTTGATTTTTATCTGTGTATACCTGATTGTTTGTCTGTTTTTTAATGAGTGTAATTCCCTTCTTTTTCTCTCTCCCCCTCTCTCTCCTTGTATTAATGTATAGATATTTATCGCATTCATCTAAAGTTCGATTTGTCCCTGAGGGTGCATCATGTGCTCCTGATCGTTATTGTTTTCATCAAGAATGTGTACTACCACATGTTGCATTTCGTTCTCGTTGTCCAACTGGTCCTGTCCATCGACATTTAGACGATGGACGTATTCTTTATCAAAATATTACATGTTCTGATCATGGAGTAAGTGAATCATTGTTTAAGTTGTATAATAAAATATTGTATCGATATCTACTTCAAGTCTGTATACTACTTACCTCTTCAAAACTCAGTCCCGACCGATAGCTGCTACCTTGACGTGGTGGTCGGGCTTGCATATCACAATGACACAACGAGCTATGCTGGTGGAGGTCCTACCATACCAGAAAGGTCTGTTGGATAGTGGTTAGACGAAAAGCAGTTACCGTTATAGTGTAAATTGCTACACTATGATGGGGGTCTGAGGGCGAAGTCGTACTGCTGCTAGCTGGATGGGGTGTGACAGCAGTAAGGTGTTTCCCTTAGATGACCAGCAGTGCTATGCTGATGCTATCTTCTCAGTAGAAGGGGGGGGTTAGAAAAGGTCGGCCTCAAAAATAACACACTCCACCATGCCCCATAGTCCGCCGGGTCGGCGGTGTTGGTTCACTTGTCGTTTCCTTTCGACCATCCGGCCCCAAAATACAAAAGTTCAAAATAATCATACTCAAAAGGCTTCATGTGACAGGCCTCAAGTAGATGTCCGATGGGCTCTGAGGTCACACATATCTCTTTCAGGTACCTTAAGAAGAAATAGCCTTCCACGGTGTGGGCAGCCGGGAAGTGTCAACCGCCCTCACAACTCTGTCAGCACTCAAGTTTCTTCAAAACTCAGTGAGTATATACAGGTTCGTGTACACTAAGTTAATGAATTGCATGTGTTACATAAGAAAGAGCTTATCCTATATACAGGGCAAAGTTTGAACCCATAACTCTTTTTTAGTTAATTTTCAGGTCTTGGAGGTTGATTTGTTGTGATTGGCTAGCTATGTTTATCTGAATGGACCGATGAAAACTGCTTTGATCTGATTGGCCGACAATTTTTGTTATTATATTCATGATGATTGTATTGATCTGATTTGTTGACTGTTCTGCGCTGATCAGTCTAGTTACTTCAGTTGAGGTGTATTCTTTGCCATTGTTGTCCCGTTAAATCTTGACGCTTGGCATTTTAATTTCTAAACAAACAATCGAAAATGAATACTTGGTCCGATAATGAGCCATTATTTATTATTAATTCTCCCTTGGGTTCCTAGCTACAGTAGCACGTCTCCATTTCACTCTGTTCTCTGCACTCTTTTCAACCTGGCTCCACGACTCCTCAGAAGCTTTCATTTCCTCCTCACACCATCTTCTCCATGTGACAGTAGGACGCCCAACTCGTCGTTTCCCATTTGATTTCCACTCGACAACCTGACCTGACCTGATCTGGCACGTGATGTCTCCAAATGGTCCTCTCAGTGTATGTCCAATCCAATACAATCCATTTCCACTCTCTTCTTATACATATTTGCTGGACGATAGGTTCTTGGTTCGTTGGTCCGTTGCCAGTCCAGAGTTGCTTGTTGTTTATTCTTTCTGACCTTCTGATCTGTTCTTCAGTATGGAGTGAGCGTAGTTTGTTGGAAATGCTTTTGGCAACGCGCCAAGTCTCTCAACCATCACACAAAAGCACTGACTATCGTGTTGTCAACACGATCTGGATGTTGTTGATGCTGTATACTGAGTACAGTGGAGTGTAATAGATTTCCTCACTGATTTCAGATTGATGAGGGGTGGTCTATTTTGCTGTCTTTCCTATGGTGGGTGACTTTGACATCGTCGTGTGTGTGTGTGTGTGTGTGTGTGTGTGCCGCTGCGTGTAGTTGAAACGATGGTGGCTAGTAAGGTGAAGGTAGTTAGGTGAAAGAGACAAGTTGGTTTAGATTTCTCTCATTGATGGTGATTGGAGCTTGTTGTTGTTGGTGGTGGTGGTTTGGTATCTCCATCACTTCTGTCTTCTCTACGTTCATTTGAAGTCCCGTTTTCGCTGCCTCTTCTATCAACCTGTTGGTTTGTGCGATATAAGACATAAATCATCATCGGCAAATGCAGATCGTTTAGGGTCTTTTCATCGGTCAAATAGCGTATGCACATCTTCTCGCTACTTACAGTTGTTTCTTGAATGATCCAGTCGACCACAATCAGGAAGGTGATGCGTGATAGTAGGCGGCAGCTTTGTCTTACTCCTGTCTTCACTTCAAAGGCATCACTGAGGCTTCCATTGTGAATCACTTGGCATGTGGCGTCTTCGTATAGCTGTTGAATGAGGCTGATAAAGATTTGTGGTATTCCGTAGTGTTGAAGGTGCTGCCAAATTACTTCTTGGTTGACGCCATCCAAGGCCTTTTCAAAGTCGATAAAGTTGAGTTGACTGCCATTCTATTACTCTGTTGTATGATGATGCGTAGCACAGTGTTGCAATTTGATCCGCACATGATTTGTTCTTTCTGAAGTCAGCCAGCCAGCCATCCTGTTCCGCTTGTAAGTTTGAATCCAGAGCATCTTTGAGTCTCTCCAGGATGATGCGGCTCGATATTTTGCTTGAGGTGGACAGGTGTAGAGCATGATTCTGCGTCAGTTCTTGCAGAGATTTAGGTCTCCCTTCTTTGGGGGTGTGACAAGGTAACCCTTCTTCCAATCGGTAGGTACCTTTCCTTTCTTCCAAGTCTTCTGCAATAGTGGTGTGTTGTGAGCATGTCCTCTGTTGTCTCTGTTTCCAGTTCTTCTGGAGGAATTCCATCTGGTCCTGCTGCTTTCATGGATTTCAGTAACTTTATGGTCTTCAGGATTACGACGTTTGTTGGAGGCCTTGTGTCCACTGCTAATTCTGTGGCAGGGCTGCTGGTGGTATTTCTAGACGAAGTGCAGGTGTTGGTGGTGGTCGATTCAATAGTTTTTTGAAGTGGTCAGCCCATCGTTTCCTTTGTTTCTCCTCTTTGGTAACTAGGTTTCCTTCACTATCTTTTATTAGTTTCATCTGTGTTGATCGCTTCCCCGATAGCAACCTGGTTATTTGATATGATGTTTTCAGATCTCTCCTACCAGCAACCTGTTCTGCTTCACTTGCAAGTGTGTCGTGGAAGTATCTTTTGTCTTTCCGCGCACTCTTCACTTCTCTATCCAGTGTTTTATACACTGTACTCAGTTCCTCTCCTCGTTGTTCATCCTTGCACTGGTTTATCTTCTGCTTCATCATCCTCCTCTCCTCCTCTCCTCTATCAGCTTCCATGTATCTGTCGAGATCCATTCCTTATTTTCTTCTTCCTTCCTAATATGGTTATGCAGCTTTCTTTCCACATATCTTTCAAAGAGTTCTAGTAATCTTCCACTCAGGTTTCTTCAGGAATGTTGTTCGATATCTCCCATTTTGTCCTAATGACTGACTGACTGACGTGAAGATTTTCTTTGTAGTTTCGTCCTTCAGTTCCTGTTCTGGGTGTTAAACTTGAACTGTGATCTATCACCAGCTTCCTTGAAGGCTTTCAACTTGATTTGGAAGGTTCCTTGCACTAGATAGTGAGTGGTGTGAACCTGTATCTGCTCCCGTTCTTGGTGTTATGTCCAGTAAGCTGCATCTCCACTTTCTTCAGTTTTAGATGAATTCGATCTAATGTTTAGCGTAGTGTGTCCATCTGGTGAAATCCATGTGGCTTTGTGAATATCCTTGTGTTTGTACATAGTGCCTCCAATCACCACATCATTGAATGCATAGAATTCTGCAAACAATTCTCCATTCTCATTCATTTCACCGAGTGCTTCTCGACCCATGATGAGTTCTCTTCCTGTGTTGGCCACTCCCAGTTTGGCATTCATGTTGCCCCCCCCCTCAGAATGTATTTGATTTCGCCAACTGGGATGGGGGTCTTGTCCAGTACTGATTACAGTTGTCTATAGAATTCCTTCTTCTTCTCTTGATCCGCATTATTTGTAGGTGCGCGTAGTGTAGCATTGTGTATGATTGTGACTTTCCTTTCTTTTGAGTTGAACCTTGCTATCATGATCCTTTAGGAGATTGGAATGAGCCATAGTTTCTTTGAACCAAATTATACAACCCTTTTAGGTAGATATTGTTCAGATGAAACACTTTAAATTATACAATCGTATTGTAATTTATGATAATTTTATTCTTTTCTTATCAATTATCTTCATCATCATTATGATTTTAGTTGTGTACAAGTGATGGATTTTGTTTGTGTCATCCTCAATGGACTGGTCATGCATGTGAGCTTGAAGCCAACGTCAATCTGTCTACAATTAACGCTTTAAATGAAGATAAACCGATTTCAAACACAAACTCAACATTGAAAATCCAGTCAGTTACTACTAATAGTATTTATAATAATAATAATCCATTGAATCCTGAAGTTATTCAATGGATTTGGAACTATTTGGAGCAAATGCAACAACCATATGCAAATCATCGAGATTATCAAATGAAAAAGCACAGTATGTCAATATTTTTCTACATTGTATCGTATAAGCAGTTTCACAGTTTATATATATATATCCTCCATGTGACAGTGGGACGCCCAACTCGTTTCCCATTTCACTTCCACTCGACAACCTGACCTGACCTGACCTGACCTGGCACGTGATGTCTCCAAATGGTCCTCTCAGTGTATGCTCAATCCAATACAATCCTATCCAATCCATTTCCACTCTCTTCTTATACATATTTGCTGGACGATAGGTTCTTGGTTCGTTGGTCCGTTGCCAGTCCAGAGTTGCTTGTTGTTTATTCTTTCTGACCTTCTGATCTGTTCTTCAGTATGGAGTGAGCGTAGTTTGTTGGAAATGCTTTTGGCAACGCGCCAAGTCTCTCAACCATCACACAAAAGCACTGACTTACGTGTTGAGAATCTGGATGTTGTTGGCGCTGTATGCTGAGTACAGTGGAGTGTAATAGATTTCCTCACTGATTTCAGATTGATGAGAGGTGGTCTATTTTGCTGTCTTTCCTATGGTGGGTGACTTTGACATTGTCGTGTGTGTGTGCGTGTGCGTGTGTCGCTGCGTGTAGTTGAAACGATGGTGGCTAGTAAGGTGAAGGTAGTTAGGTGAGAGAGACAACTTCGCTTTGATATCTCTCATTGATGGTGATTGGTGCTTGTATGGCGATGAATAGTCTTATTTAAATGGATCAAACTGTTGAAAATAAGCATAATCGTGAAACAATACTATAAATAGTTTAGGTGCTTTGACTTATCAATTTCCACTGTCGATTCCAGCGAGTTGATTCCTATTCGGTTTCCTCGATAATGCCGATATTCCACAGCAATATCAAGATGTCTACTTACAGCAGCCTATATACCAAGGTTGACCGGTTGAATCATGGAAGGAGATTTGTAAGCCATAACGTCAAAACTATACTATATCGTTGTCAAAAGAAGTGGGTGTCATGACTCGGTAGGTTCTAGTGGGTGACGCTTTGATCCTGCTTTCAAGTTTTAGTGGAAATAAAGTCGCCCCGTGGGGGTGGGGGGGTATGTCCAACTGACGAGACCTGAATCGGACGAAACTCGTGTATTGATTTCCACTGTTAGGCACTACCCATTATTCGTTTCGATATCGATGTTATATTGATAATAATAACTAGATGTATGACTCAATGATTTTCTCTTGATTACAATTAGTAAACTCATTTCATAGCATCAATGACTGTCTAGACAGTAGTAATTGACACAATAGGCTTCCTTTCATCCCCAGTATTTAATACATGAAATTGATTCTAGTTACTAAGATACATATTTCTGTTCCTAATGTTCTGGTGAAGAGACTGTCAAAATGAAAATGGAGAAAGGGGAATAACGCACCGGGTTTAATAATAACAGTATGCCTAAAGGCGCAAAATTACCACTCATAATGAACTCAGGGGAAAGGTTAGGGTGCAACTTTGTTTGTGATGTTCATTCTTTTTCTGAAGGGTCTAGTTACTAAGCGACTCACCTCGCTCCACTCCTAACACCACCACCACCACCACACCCCCCCTCAACCCTATACACACACACAGACGAATATCCACATAAGTTGAAAAGGACATTTCGGTGATAGCTCCTGAGTTTGCCTATTGATTGCTTCCAACCAACTAAAAATTCTTTTCTCATTATTAACTGACTAATCAATGAAGACAACCGTATACTAACAAAGTTTTTCTTCTGTCTTCTTCTCGAAATTTAACCAACTTAACATCTTATATCTGTTAATTTTTTTTCTTTTCCTGTGTTGATTTTGTTCAAGTTGTATAGTGACGATAAAATTCTCTACCAGTTTTGATTTTATAAAACACTTTGAAGGAGAGGAGGCTTAAGTTTGTGTCTTCGGAGTGAATGTACAACCTTTGGATTATGTTGGTGTAAGTAAGGGTAGCCATTTTATGTAGTCTAGTTATTAACTGTTACATGTGTTGAGCATGTTGATCCACCGCTCACCATGACGTGCTGTACTAGAAGAAGGTGCATTAGGTTGGAAATGAGTTCAGACTGGCCACACCAAGACATGATACTAGTCGATGAAGTCTCTGATTGTTGGTATGAGCTGTGTAGCAAGATGTTGACTCCCTAGCTGATGTCCCTGAAACGAAAATAATCAGTGGTTGAGGACTGACTCTTGGTGAAATGACTGATATCAGTCTTTTTCTATCGACATTTTCTTTGTATACTTTGTATGCGAGGTATTTGTTAGTTTCGTGTGTCTGCCTGACTAACCATTTTGAGTCCGATGTGGTCATCAAGCTAGTAGGCTCACCAGCGTGGTTCACTTTGATGGATGTTAGCTGGTTGAAGCTTCAGGGATTCCTGTCGATTGCCTTCGACCAACTAATGCCTATGTTACTTTTTTTGGTCTACAAAATTCGCTGGAAACGGACAAACGCACTAAAGTAGAATGTTAAACAGAAGGGGATCAATTCATCTTTCAGTACTTCATAACAGCCACAACTCCACTACTCTCTGTCAGTCTATACCTCAGTAGGTGCAGTAGAATAATTAATAACTATAAACTCTTCAGTTCACTGCTCCCTAGCTGTTGATGTTTGACTTCAAACAATGAAATATTACGTACAAGAGTGTTGCATCAAGTATTTCGGTGGTTACATTGCAAACATGATCGTAGTAGTAAAATTTCTGACTTCATGATTAACTGATGTTCATTTCGAATTATTTCGAAAGAACATAAGTTTCTTTATAGTTAAACATAACTCCTACAAAGTCTTGGGTTCGATCCTCGGGTGCAGAAAGCTATGGAGTCCCATCCTACAACGAAACAGCTGTTCAGTCTTCCAAATAATGAGTGTTAACATGCTAGAAATCTAAGTGAAACAAAGTTTCCCATCGACTCATGAATAACTTAATTAGAAAATATCAACATGCTTTTTTTTACGTTTCAATTACCAGTAACAGCTGAAGAAGAATTAGTCTATGATACATTTCTCATCAAACTACTGAGAACATTTTTATTCTTTTAAAGAATAATGCGTATTTCAGTTTAGTTTATATTATTATTGAAAATTTATGTGAACGAATTATACTTCAATGTTTAATTCAGTGTTCAGTGTCTGACAGTGATTGTTTGACTGCGCGCTTCCAATAAATGACCTTGACCTTGAAAATAAATTTAAATTAGATTAGTCTAAAAATTAAATTGAATTTTCTTTTTACTTAAAAACGAAAGCCTAAACTTTCACTGAATTTAATGTAAAGAAGAAAACTAATTAGCTGTGTAATGAGACAAGAAATTGTCTATTCAGCTAATGGTAATGATGGCGATCAGGGTATTGAGTTGGTTAAGAAACACGGGAATAAATAATTTTTCCCATACTATGTAATATCAACTTTTAGGGATGGAGAAGGTTGGGAACTGATGTGTGTACACACAGTAATTATTTTAAACAAATGTTATTTTCTGATTACTATACACACTTGTTACTGATATGGGTTGATGATTGAAGGTGAAATGAAAACCTGAGTCATACTAGGATTCGAGCCAGAGACCTTTTGAATGATTACATGGTCAGCAATGCAACCTCTACCTAATGAGGTTTGTGTTGTATCTGTGTGTGTGTGGACATGATATACAAACGACGATATGATGAGGTTATAGCTATTGCTTCATCAAAGTTACTTTAAAGTACTACTTGGTTGCTATGGCGAAACTTGAAAACAATTATTATTATTTGTTCCTTACGTTCCTAGTGAAACATAGGGCTTCAACAGCGCGTCACCATTTCACTCTCTTCTCTCAAGTCTTTTCAATCCGGCTCCACGACTCCTCAGAAGCTTTCATTTCCCCCTCACACCATCTCCTCCATGTGACAGTTGGACGCCCAACTCGTCGTTTCCCATTTGACTTCCACTCGACAACCTGACCTGGTACGTGATGTCCCCAAATGGTCCTCTCAGTGTATGTCCAATCCAATACAATCCTATCCAATCCATTTCCACTCTCTTCTTATACATATTTGCTGGACGATAGGTTCTTGGTTCGTTGGTCCGTTGCCAGTCCAGAGTTGCTTGTTGTTTATTCTTTCTGACCTTCTGATCTGTTCTTCAGTATGGAGTGAGCGTAGTTTGTTGGGAATGCTTTTGGCAACGCGCCAAGTCTCTCAACCATCACACAAAAGCACTGACTGTCGTGTTGTAAGTCTGGATGTTGTTGACGCTCTATGCTGAGTGTAGTGCAATGTAGTGCAGTGCAGTATATTTCCTCACTGATTTCAGATTGATGAGGGGTGGTCTATTTTACTGTCTTTCCTATGGTGGGTGACTTTGACATTGTCGTGTGTGTGTGCGTGTGCGTGTGCCGCTGCGTGTAGTTGAAACGATGGTGGCTAGTAAGGTGAAGGTAGTTAGGTGAGAGAGACAACTTCGCTTTGATATCTCTCATTGATGGTGATTGGGGCTTGTTGTTGTTGTTGTTGTTGTTGGTTTGGTATCTTCATCACCTCTGTCTTCTCTACGTTCACCTGTAAAAAGTCCATCTTCTCTGCCTTGCCTATTCTGTTAAGTTGTTAGTTTCCATCTGAAGATCCCCGAATTTGTGCGACATAAGACACTAGACATAAATCAATATCGGCGAAATTCAAATCCTCCAGGGTCTTTTCATCGGTCAAACCGCCAGCATGTGCCCATCTTCTCACAGTTTCTTGCATGATTCAGTCGAGTCGAACATAATCAGGAAGATCATCAACGATAGTAGGCGGGCAACCTTATTTTACTCCTTCCTGTCTTCACTTCAAAAGCGTCACAGAGCTTTCCATTGTGAATCACTTGGCATGTGGCGTTTTCATATAGCTGTTGGATGTAGTTGACAAAATCTTGTGACACTAAAACCGTAGTGTTGAAGAAGCTGCCAAATAACTTCTCGGTCAACGCTCTAAAAGGCCTTTTCAAAGTGGATTAAATTGACGTAAGGAGTTGTCTTCTATTCTATCCTCTGTTTTATGATGATGCTTAGCGTTGCAGTTTGATTCACACATGATTCATTCTTCACAAGGAATCAGCTAGGGTAACCGTTTTCATGAATTGCTACTGTTTATCTAAACTATCGCATCTTGTAAGCAGTTTTAATCAAGTAGAAAACCACTGAGAAACAAATTCTTAACAGGATCATGAGTACGCAGTTATAAGGAGCACTAAATTATGGATGAAACTGGTGTGTATTATTTCTGGCGGTTTTCTAGCTACCGTCTGTACCTGATCCATAATGCTCTGAAGTTACCCAATTCCATATCGTGATATAACAGAAATGGAAAATTGCAGACCATTGGATTCCAACCCAATAGCTAAATGATTAACTTACTCACCACGAAATCTAAATATCCTGGGTTCGATCCTGGGTATTTCATGTCTCCACACTGCTGAGGAAGTTCACACCTGGACGAAACAACTTTTCATTGTCTCCAGGCTTTCATTGGTTCTCCAACTGACATTACTCCATGACGAATGCAACTTTAAATAATATCAGGTTTTTATTTAATATATACCAAAGGAGAAATGTTTTAGCGTTCATGTCATTACTTTTCTACTTCTTATCCATATTTATTATTCTCCAGGTGCTGATAATCGGAGTCATAAAACACCATTGAACACATTGTATTTAGTGTGTATTCTTGGTGTTGTTGTTGGCGGGATATTTCTATTTCTAGCTATATTCATATTTATCTACAGGTTAGTGAATACTTTTAGTGTTTATCTATGTATGTATGTGTGTGTGTGTACGCGCATGTGCATGAGTGTTCTATATATCTTTGCTGTAAGAGTTTGATTTTGAGGTAAATTTATTCAAGTCATCTGTACTCTCTCTGGAGATATGATGGAAAATTGAGATAAATACTTATGCTACTAATAATGAAATTAAGTAGTCAAACACTATTCGGACTAATCTGGATGGCCGTTTAGTTTGTTAGTTCAGGTTACCTGAATCTGGCTAGCTGTCTTGCATGCACTGACTGGTACACCTAAAATAGGATAATCAATTTGTAACTGGTACAGTTTACGTTAACATTTTTCATAACTGAGTAGTTTTCCAACTGTAGTGTTAATACAGTTTCCGTTGGAAACCGCCCAGTCTGTGCGTAATACACTGTCAAACAGACGAAATCAACATAGAACTTTAGACATAAGTGCATCACTTCAAGTTACTACACTTCACAGTAGTATACAAAGAACAGGTGAATAAAAAAAGATATTGAAGTAGACAAAGTTGTGTGAAAGAATGAGCAATTTGAATAGAACGGTTATTGCGAATATTCAAGCTTTAAAATATGTCAGGGAGTGAATACATTTACGCCACTTTGAACGATTTTCAGCTACATAACTCAGGCTAACAGTCACAGACTTCGTCAACTGTTGCCAGGTTTTAGTCTGGAAACCCTGAACTGTCTTCCTGGCTAATTTAACTTCCCCTAGTATGTCACTTTAAGGTTGGTGGTGGCTTGGAATGCACAGTACATGTCCAAGCCATCTGAATCGATAAAGATTCACGACCTGATTAATTGAATTACCTATTTTACCCAGTACCCTTCGACTGAGTTTGAAGTGCGACGAAGATATTTGTGGTCGAAAACTTGTCACCGCTTCAAGTCTTCTACTTTCAACAGCTATGTCTGTGAGCCGTATACTAGGACTCAAAGGCTTGGAGCGCAGTCTTATTTCCCTTTGATAGATAACCGCATATCAATGTATTGTAGACGAAATTTACGCATTGCAATCGTATATTTAAATGATTTGTTTGAAATTATTCATCTATGTATGTGTCGTACTATTGTGTCGTGTCGTGGCGTGTGGTATAGTGTAATGTAGTGCTGTGTAGTTTCGTGTAGTGTACTGCAGTGTAGTGCATTTTAGTATGGTGTAGTCTGGTCTAGCCTAGTGTAGTTTAGTGCAGTGTAGTGTAGCGTCACGTCGTGTAGTTTAGTTTAGCGTAGTGTAGTGTTGTGTTATGTAGTGTAGTATAGTGCAGTACAGTGCATTACAGTGTAGTCTAGTCTAGTGTATTGTCACGTCGTGTCGTGTCGTGTTGTGTAGTTTAGTGTCTTGTCGTATAGAGCAGTGTAGTGTGGTATTGTGTATTAGTTACTATCAACCTCTATTTGCATAAATGATTGATTGAACATCGGAATTAATGAACTAGAAAATAATTAATTTTCTATAAAATGTTTTATTTACTGCGACAAATTACCGGCATATGCATGTAATCAATGTTGCTCGTTTTGTATTGTTTTTGTAAAAATATATGCTGTTATTATTATTATTATTTGTCCCTTGGGTTCCTAATGGAACATAGGGCTTCAGTAGCACGTCTCCAGTGCACTCTGTTCTCTGCAATCTTGTGAACCTGACTCCATGACACTCCGCAAGCTCTCATTTCTTCCTCACACGATCTCCTCCATATCACCCTCGGCACCGACGCCCAACTCGTCATGCCCTATCTGAGTTCCACTCGAGGGCCTTGTCTGGTGCGTGATGTCCCCAGTCGACCTTCTCTGTGTATGCCCAATCCATCTCCACTTCCTTCCACTGTATATTTGTTGAGCCATAGGTTCTTCGTTCGTTGGTTCGTTCCCAGAGTTACTTATTGCTTGTTCTTTCTGACCATCTGATCTTGAGTAACGAGCCAGCGTTGATGAATGTGTGTAGTTTGTTGGAAATGCCTTTCGTAGCGTGCCAAGTCTCTGAGCCATACAGAAGCACTGACTTGAGTGGATTGGTGTTGAAAATCGGGATGTTGTTCACGCTTTGTGCTGTGTACAGAAGATCTCCACACTGGTTTCAGGTTAATGAAGGCCTGTCTTGCTTTTCCCATCCCGGCTGGCTTTGACGTTCTCGTCTGTGCCTGTGCCGCCTGTAATTGAAACGATGCTGCCTAGATAGGTGAAAGAGGCTACTTCCTTTAAGTTTCTCCCGTTGATGGTGATTGGAGCCTGTTGTTGGTGGTGGTGGCGTTGGCTGAGTATCTTCATCACCTCTGTCTTCTCTACGTTCACTTGAAGGAAGTCCCGTCTTCGCTGCCTGGCCTCTTCTGTCAACTTATTGGATTTTGCTAGTAGATCTTCAAGTTTGTACGACATTAGACATGAATGAGTATCGGTGAAATCCAAATCTTCTAGGATCTTTTCCCTGGTCCAGGGTATCCCCCTCTTCTCCCTCCTCACTGTTTGTTGTATGACCAAGTCCACTACATGAGGAAGATCATGGGCGATAGTAGACAGCTTTGTCTTACTCCTGTCCTCACTTCAAAGGCATGACTGAGCTTCCCATTGTGAATACTTGACATGAGGAGTCTTCATATAGTTGTTGAATGATATTGATAAAGGTTTGTGGTATTTCGTAGTGTTGAAGCAACTGCCAAATTATCTGTCGGTTGATGCTGTGGAAGGCCTTTTCAAAGTTGATGAAGTTCAAGTAGGTAGTTGACGGGGGTTTAACTAGGTAGAAGTTATCAGTATTATAAAAAGTTTGTTACATGTTCTCTTTTTTTCAGACTAAAAGTTAACTTGACAATCCTAATAATATACGGACTAGAGTTAGTGGGTAAAAGCTAACCGTGACATAGAGGACGGAGGTGAGAGTAGTGTAACTGTGGCATTGGGGGTATACTCAGCTAGCTGATAACATTTACAAATGATCTGATCATTTCGTGAGTGAATTAAAATTGACAAATGCTCCTGACTGTTCGATTCAAACTTACTCGTTGAAGATGATGGATTATGTTCAGTGAGATGTAATAATATTTGAGGGGTAGAGACAAATATTGATAAGCTAAAATGTCGGAGTTATTGATTTTAGTAATTTACTTATCATGATCAAAATATGGAGTCATTAAGAAACTGGAAATCCTGAAAATCAATCCTGCATACCTTACACTGAACATATACACAGTGATTATACAAACCAGTCAAATAGTCTATACTTTTCTACATTGCTTAGTTCAATGGTTAGATACTTTATGAACTGTTACTTTGACTTGATCTGATCTTTATGAACCCCCTCCCCTAAGCATACGACTTAATCGAAGAAGTTTTACAACTTTATTGATTCACTTACTTTCACTACCTAGTTAGCCTTCACTTTACCTGGATATTACCCATAAAATGAGTCCAGTAAACCTAATCAATACTACAAAGATATCTATGATAAAAATCATGTAGTTCCTTTGTATATTCTACCTTCAATAGTCATGTCTCATAGTTGTGTAATAGAATACAATAGACTGCCGTACAGTATACTCTTTCGTTTATAGGTAGTTAGATTTCTTGTTGACGTTAGAAGTTAAGTACATGCCTTTTGTAATTCATCTGAGATTTCATTATCCACTTTTTTCATTTAGTCTGATGAAGCTTCTCAAGTATGAGTTAATTTGGTTGGTTTTGGCTAGCAAGAGAATCTAGGGTGTGCGTTTCGTCTTATTTCGGACTCATTCGTCAACTGGATATACCTGTACCCCAGTGAGTGATGTTCTTCCCACTGAGACTCGAACCTCGTACCCATCGCTTTAAATGCTAAGAAGTTCTCCACTATGCCACGGAGAAACTATAGCCACTTCTTGTACAACGGATAATAGTATTTACTATTTATTGACAGAATTGTTTATTCTCTGTTGCTTGTTTTGTTGGATCGAATTATTCGACCTCCAATATGATAGTTATGCAATGAGTAATATATAACAGTAATCATTCTTCTCAACCATTTTTATACTCATAAAAGTTTAATTATTTTTTTAAAATTTTTATTTTGTTGAAATTCTGTTTCTTTAATTAGACGTCGAGGTCGTTCAAATTTTTGGGGAAAATCTTATTATACTACTCATAAAAACTTTTGTACATTTCGTCGTAATAGACGAAGAAATCCTGATCTATTATCCCCACGTGTTGTTAAACACAATGGATCATCACGGTCATTTAATTCTGCTGTTACTACTACTACTACTACCAATAACAATAATAATAATAATAATAATAATAGTTCCAATTTAGGTGAATGTCAAGAATTACAAAATTCATTATATGATAAATCTACTGGTGGTGGTGGTGGTGGTGGTGGTGGAAGTTGTAGTAGTCGTGATAAAGGATATGAACGTCATCGTCATCGTCTACATCATAATCGTCTAAATGGTAGTAATCATAATGAATGTTCACATCATCGAAATGGTCGAAATATTAGTAATAGTAGCGGTAGTAATCGTTACCGAGATGAAGAATATCATATTTCAGATTATGCTAACAATGAAAATACTAGTGGAAAACATCGACGTAAACAATACCATCGTACTGGTCATATGAAAAAAGATGAATTATCTAATAAGAAGAAAATTGATCGTAAGCATAAATCTAGTCGAACTAGTGCACCTGGAAGCGATACTAGACTATTGGAACCATCTATTGAAGGTCAATATGGAAGTAATTTCTCAGATACTGAATTAACATGTAACAATGATAAGAATATAGATGAGTTGAATAATAGTACGGATAGAATTATCAAATTTGGCAGTATGCCCTCGTATAAGTAAGTTGTTCAGTGTTTATACATTTTGTTTTTCTGATTGTATTATGTTTTCTGAGCCGAATTGTTTAGTCTAGAAATCCAAGTGTACAAGAAGTCAACACACATTGACTGATCAAATCTTCAACTACAGTAGCAACAACCTAATAATGTACAAAATTAGTTGCCTATAGACTCTATTCATCAAAAGAGCAACAAAACACTACAGTACAATGACTTTACGGAGAAATGAAGAAAATTCCATGACATCTATCCTAAAGAAGAATGGCTACCTATGAAACTTTATTAGAAGATGCCTATTCCCTACAACATCAACTACAAAGTAATAGACAGAAATCAATAAACGGATCATCCTACTATACATAACGAATATATCAGAAATCGCTACAAGATTAATGAGACCACTTGGAATTGGTGTGGTCACTCATAAACCAACAGGTTCCCTCCAAACACTATTATGTAGACCAAAGGATGCAACAACCAAAGAAGACAAACTGAATATCATTTACAAAATCAACTAGAATAACTGCAGTTAACACTACACATTGGACAAAGTGGTCTCGCACCTTCACTTTCGTCTACATGAATGCTAATTGGCTATTAAACGCCACGACATTTCGTCACTCATTGCTCAGTGCATGTGGATAACAACTATGGACATGAATTGAATTTTGACAATGTAGAAATGTTGGACGGAGAGAGGAAACACAAAGAATATCATCGAGGAATTCGTACAAGCTTGGCATTCAGGTCATTCAGTCAGCAATCAACAGATGTATAGACATAGACCTTATCAACTAACCAGTGATAAAAATGGCCAACGACAGAGAAAGGTGAGAGGTGAAGCAGAGGAACAGCTTACAAAGAAATCTAAACAGTCAGTCAATGACACAACAATCAAAGGAAACAACCAATCAAAAACCAGTTCGTCAGGGAAAGCAACTGAATCACTTATGGGGAAATATTGACAGCTCACTACTTCATACTGAAGTTAGTACTGATGATGTTACTGTCTAAAAAGACTATGAAACCTTCTCTACAACTAATTAACTCAGTTCGGAGAACAAAATACAACCAAAACCATCCACCTGAGTGACAAATATTCTTCAACATTTTGTTTTCCTCTCACCCTGGTAGATTCACTTGTTTCATATTGGATTATACCAGTCGATAAGCAGAAAACTTTGCTTCACTTGACTTCCATTTTTCTTTTTTCATATGTCATCAACGAATTACGTATGTAGTAGTGAAGATAATTACTGTAATTCTTAATTGATTTGATCAGTGCCAAAAAACTTCACCTATAAGCCAGTCTATCATGATGAATTTAGAGTGTGAAATTATAACGTACTAGTACAAGTTGGCACAAATTATTTTATGGTTTCAAGTTACGATATCTATCAAGCGCACTTCGTTGAGAAGGTCACTCAGTTTATGATAGAACTTATCCTTAGTTGCATCTGGGCTGCAATCCGTCGGAGTATAGGCAGAGATGACAAAGAGATATTGTTTCTCTTGCCAGTTACTTCTTACCCGAGATGAACCTTCCAGCCTAACATCACACAGACGTCAATTGATAAGAATTCAGCCTAGTAGGACAGCTTCGGCTTGATCGCTTAATGCGACACTGACATTCGCAAGGCCGGTACCTGATGCCATACAATCCTTGAATAAGTGTACATGGAACATACTTTTCGGGTTGATAGATGAGGAATTTATTCAAACTACTTCAATGTAATCTTGTATCCGGGTCTCTGAAATGTAGTGTACATCGATGAGTGACGGTTACAAAGTTCATAGTGCGGACAGCTTTAACATTCACAGAAAAGTTGGTTACTTGCTTTAAAATCTTCATTTTATATTGTAAATTCATATTTTGTGCGAAAGCTAACATACTGTCTGGATGCTCAGTTCAAAGTAGATGGTTGTCTTAGGGGACCACTCCCCGAGATTTTGACTTATCCACAAGGTAATGAAAAAACCTCAGGAGTTATATTCCTATAGAATTATCGGTGACCGAAATAGGTTCATGTACTATTTGATCCTAGCGGAACCTGGATCTCATGTGCACCATTGGTTTGTAATCACAGGTTTTCAACTCCCTAAAATGGACCCTCTGTATACATCAATCAAAGGTTTATAAGAGAAGAGAATATATCTGCATTATTGTGACCGATTTCCAACCATCTCAACCACTGATTCATATGGTTTCAAGGATCTCAATCAGGCAATCTACATCATCGTACAAGGCTCAAAATAACAAACAGTAAGAGACTTTATTAACTGGTGTCATATTTTTGTTTAGCTCCCATGAACCCTCTTCCAACCTAATCCAACTTCCTCCAGTATGGTAGATCGAGGCAAGAGGTCGCTCAATATGCATAACATATATCAAAGCTATCTCAGTTGATGAAGGTTATAAAAGTTTACAGTGTTATCTATCAATTTGCTTGTCTTGCTTAATATTCTTCACCTGACGTCAACATTTGCTTACACAGTGATTCTACGAAATGTAAGTAATGCAACTAACATGTATAATCGACAACCTGTAACAATTTAATATCTTCTACTTCCAATGACCATTATCTCATAGACGTGTTATAACAAGACAGAATAAACTACAGCAATACAATAAAGATGATATTCTCTTTTCAATATACTTTGAGATTATTTTGTTCGTATTTTTTTTTGTTTTAGAGAGGATAAAATCCGACAATTGAAACAAACAATAACTGATACATCTTCACAGATAATTGATTATCGATCATCAAAAAATGGACTGTCTATATCATCTAACAGTCAAAATATCACCTCTCCACTGGATTCTACTGCCTTGATAGTTACTTTACCTATCGAATCAAACTTTAATAATAATAATAATAATACTGTTAAGAGTGTTATTTCTGGTTCTAAGTTTGATATACCGATATGTACAAATATGACCAATTGTAAATTAGATCTTTTAGACTCATGTAAACATTCTAATTTGTATTATGCATCGATGAATTCTACATCGACGACAACGACGACGACGACGACGACACCGCTAAATAATTATCCTGTTACATTATCATCAATTGTACCGCCTTTATTTCCATTTTCATCAATCACTTACTCTGAATCATCAATAAATTTGATGTCACCTATAAAATTATTTACATCAAATGAATTATCATGTATACAACAAACTCCTTCAACTTCAAAACAAACTTCATTATTATGTAATAGTACTACAACTGCATTGATTGGTGCTGGAAGAGCTGGAGCTAATGCAGCAGCTGCTCTAGCGGCGGCGGCGACGGCGGCGACGGCAACATCAGCAGCATCAGTAACGTTACTACCTGATGGTGTAGATTTACCTAAGAAGGAAATATCAACGAATAATTATTCTGTAACAACTTCAATAGATACTTCTAAGGATGTTATAAATGATGTAAGAAGATTCATTACACTTGATCTCTTAATATGATAAACATTAATGTAGTTCGAAGTTTATAAAGATTTTATATTTAAAATTAGTATTTATCATAGACTGAAATCATTTGGAGAAATATTGAAAAGTCTGGTGGTAGCACACTGGATAGCTATCTTGTCAGTAGTACCGATTCATAACCCTCTCCCTCCAGGGATCGAACTTAGGGCCTTCAGGTCTTGAGAGAAATATGCTAACCATTCAACCACTGGTAGGAGTTCAATGGTTCACAATTTCTTAATTAGGTTCATTTATGATACACTGTGACTGACCAAGATCCTCAGTTGGCCATCCCCTTCACCTCCATTGGTCACAGCTTCTGAGGAGTCTGGTTACTATATTATTATTAATATTTGTTCCTTGGATTCCCAGTGGAACATAGGGCTTCAGTAGCATGTCTCCAGTGCACTCTGTTCTCTGAAATCTTTTGAACCTGGCTCCACTACAGCCCACAAGCTCTCATTTCTTCCTCTCATGATCTCCTCTATGTCACCCACAGCTGGGACGCCCAACTCGTCTTTCCCTATCTGAGTTCCACTCGAGCAACTGGCCTGATGCGTGATGTCCCCAGTCGGCTTTCTCAGTGTATGCCCAATCCATCTCCACTTCCTTCCACTGTATGTTTGTTGAGCCATAGGTTCTTCGTTCGTTGGTTCGTTTCCTGAGTTGCTTGTTGCCTATTCTTTCTGGCAATCCATCTGATCTTGAGTAACGAGCCAGCGTTGATGAATGTGTGTAGTTTGTTGGAAATGCCTTTCGTAGCGTGCCAAGTCTCTGAGCCATACAGAAGCACTGACTTGAGTGAATTGGTGTTGAAAATCGGGATGTTGTTCACGCTTTGTGCTGAGCGGAGTGCAGAAGATCTCCACACCGGTTTCAGGTTAATGAAGGCCTGTCTTGCTTTTCCGATCCTGACTGTATTTGGTCAACAATTCCCGAATATGATTAAATCTGCGTTCATCTCCTAGATATTATTTATCTTATGTTTCACACATCTATACGCTGCAGCCATACGTCGATAATGGCTGATTGATTTGATCGGAGCAAATCAACAATGAAAGATTAGCAGCCATTACAAACATTGATTAGACTATCGAAAGTATTTTTGATAGACAGATTATTATTACTATATTATTTGTCCATTGGGTTCCTAGTGGAACTTGGGACTTCAGTAACAGGTTGCCATTTCGCTCTCTTCTATCCAGTCTTTTGAAGCTGGCTCCACGACTGCCCAGAAGCTTTCATTTCTTCCTCACACCATCTCCTCCATGTCACCCTGAGACTTTCAACTTGTCATTTCCCACTTCATTTCCATTCGAGGGCCTGATGCGTGTTGTCCCCAATCGCTCTTCTCAATGTATTCTCAATTCATCTCCACTTTTTCCTGCATATTTATTGGGCGATGGGTTCTTGGTTGGTTGGTTAGTCGCCAGGCCAGAAATCCTTCTTCATTCTTTCTGGCCTTATGATCTGATCTTCAGTATGGAGTGAACGTAGACGGCAGCTGTTGATGTATGTCTGCAGTTTATTGGGAATGCTTTTCGTAACGTGCCAACTCTCTCAACCATCACATAGAAGCATAGACTTGGTGTAGAAAACCCGGATGTTGTTGACGCTCTATGCTGAGTGCAGTGTAGTGCAATAGACCTCCACCTTACTGATTTCAGAATAATGAAGGGTGGCCTGTCTTGCTGTCTTCCCGATCCTGGCTTTGACGTCCTCATCTATGCTTGTATCGCCTGTAGTTGAGACGATGCTGCCTTGGAAGGTGAAGGTAGGTGGGTGAAAAAGACAACTTCATTTAGATTTCTCTCATTGATGGTGATTGGTGCTTGTTGTTGGTTTGGCATCTTCATCACCCCTGTCTTCTCCACGTTCACCTGAAGGTAGTCTCGTCTTCTCTGCCTTGCCTCTTCTTTCAACTTGTTGGTTTTCACCTGTAAATCTTCGAGTTTGTGCGACGTAAGACATAAATCATCATCGCCGGGGAAATACAAATTATATAGGGTGCTTTCATCGGTCAAGCAGTGTATGCCCCTCTTCTCGCTCTTCACAGTTGTTGGTTGCATGATCCGATTCAGTCCAGTCAAGTCGACCACAATCATGAAGATCATCGGTGATAGTAGGCAACGTTGTCTTACCTGTTAACCTGTCTTCACTTCAAAGGCATCACTGAGCCTTCTATTGTGAATGACTCGGCATGTGGCGTCTTCGTATAGCTGTTGAATGAAGTTGATAAAGGTTTATGGCACTCAGTCTGTAGTGTTGAAGCAGTTTCCAAATTACTTCTTGTTCGACGCTGTTGAAGGCCTTTCAAAGTCAGTGAAGTTGAGGTACAGAGTTGACTTCCATTCTATCCTCTGTTCCATAGTGATGCGTAGCGTTGCAATTTGATCCTCACATGATTTGTTCTTCCTAAATCCAGCCAGCCTGTTCCGGTCGTAATTTTGGATCCAGAGCATCTTTTAGTCTCTCCAGTATGATGCGGCTTAATATTTGCTTGATGTGGACAGAAGCATGATTCCGCGCCAAATACACGATATAGTTCAGTATAATCACGGTGGGAACAACATCACTCACTGGGAGACAGGTGGTACATCCAGCTGAAGAGTCCCAAATAGGATGAAATGCGCATCCTGGATTCCACTGCTACCCACTATCCATCATTATTATGATATAATTCGGTTGTTCTTAAATTTTTCTTCAAAAAAACATTCTTCTTTCTTTCTTTCTTTTAGTGACAGCTATGAATGATGATATAATTGATCATTTTACTAATTTCTGTAAGTTCCTTTTTAGTGACAAGACATACAGACAGACAAATGGGATCAACGTAGCACCTCATACACACAAACACACAGGTGTATCAGTTTAAGTTGCTACAACTCACCATAGTAAACAAAGAGCAGGTGGATAGAAAAAGAGTGATATCAAAATAGGTAATATTGTGTAAGAGAATCGACAGTTCAAGCGTTAGAAGACGTTAAAGACTGAATACATCTAGACTAAATTGACGAATTTTCAGTTATGTCACCAAGGATACTCAACTACTGATCCCTTTCATTTCCAAGAACCCATCTAAGCAGTTTACGCCTCATTATAAAGCATCTGCCGACAATCAGAGACTTCATCAACTGATGGCCCATCAACTAACATCTCACATCGAGACAGATGATCAGTCAGCATGTGAAACATATCTCCAAGACATCTCAGTCAATTAACAAACCATTTTACTCTATTTCATTACAATGGAATTGTAACCTCTATCCACACTGGTTATTTATCATGATGACTTGTACAAAATATATTAATTTTATAATTAAATAACGCGAAAAACATGTTCTCTCAATACGTTGAATTCTTTTAGACGGTCGATACAATTTGCCAGAGTTACTAATTTTGGTATGATTAGAGATTTGTTTTCTCTATAGGTATTACAGATTTAAAGAAAGGAAATCACTATTTCAGCAATGTTTGATGTCAGGCGAAAGGTACTAAGCAAGATAGGAAAGTCATTAACTGAGGTGGCTTGGAAATGTGTTATGCGTACTAAACCACGACCTACTTCAATGTGTGATGTGTCAAAAGAAATATGAAGTACTAAAAGAGGGAAAGGAAGAATGAGAAAATGGTGAGATTCGTTATAGTGTTAAGATGAGGATAATGTGTGTGGGGATACATCTGCGCTACTGACATCGGTTCTGAACCATGTCACTTACAGCCAGTCTCCAACCACTAGTTCCTCTTGTCCCGTGGACTCCAACCGGTCTGCATCACCCTACATGGCTACTTCTGAGCGTAGTTTAAGGAAACCAGGGATGCTGTTCCATAGATTCAGATCGTTGTTGAAGGCGACAGTGCTAGGAGGAATTGAAGATGATGTAGGATCTTTAATCGAGAAACGTGAAGGAAGATTAGAAGGTAATGATGAGCGAGGTGAATAGTAGTCTGAAGAAACTTGACTGCTGACAGAATTGTGAGGTTTGTTTGACACTTTCCAGCTGCCCACACCATAGAAAGCTATTTCTTCTTAAGTTACCCGTCGAACTTCTGCTTGAGGCCTGTCACAGGCAGCCTTTTGTGTATTATTATTTTGATTTTTTGTTGTTTCGGGGCTGGATGGTCGAAAAGAAACGAGAAATGAACCAACATCGCCGACCCGGCGGACTATGGGGCATGGTGGAGTGTGTTATTTTTGAGGCCGACCTTTTCTAACCCCTCGCCTCTTCCACTGAGAAGATAGCATCAGTATAGCACTGCTGGTCATCTAAGGGAAACACCTTACTGCTGCCACACCCTACCCAGCTAGCAGCAGTACGACTTCGCCCTCAGACCCCCATCATAGTGTAGCAATTTACACTACAACGGTAACTGCTTTTCGTCTAACCACTATCCAACAGACCTTTCTGGTATGGTAGGACCTCGAGGGAACAAATGTTCCACCAGCATAGCCCGTTGGGTCATTGTGATATGCAAGCCCTACCATCACGTCAAGATAGAAGCTATCGGTCTGGTGGTACATTCACATTGTTCATTCCAGCTGTGATGCAACTAACTGCTGCTAGTAGCAGTTCAACATCGTACACATTTACCTACTCGGCTATGATGTATACATATTCGGTCAGGGTTCAAGATACCACCTGACCGACTAGGTCGAAGTAGGGGCAGTAAGATTTCAAATCTCCTTTTAAGTTCCCCTCTTGATTCTTCCATTGAGATATTTCCTATTCCTGATGGATCGGGGCTAGAAGTGGGATCCAGCTTGACACGCAGGATGTACGTATCCCCCTAGTGGGCAGTGTTCTGCCAACCGGGACTCGAACTCCGGGGCGACCGCTTCAAACGTCAGAGCGTTATCCACTAGACCACCGAGTCACTATGACCGCTTCTTGTGCGACACGTATAGTTTTAATGTTGCTGCTGTTATTTGAACTTCTGGATACCCATTTCTAAGCATATCATTAAGGAGCACTCAATAGTACAGATGAGAAATCATATGCTAAAATAAATCAGTTGTCTAGTCCTCCCATATTTTCAGTAAGTAGCCAATTGATATCAGTCTGTGATAAATACTACCTTAATAAAATATGTTTTTTTTTAATAATAATTTTCTTTGTTCAGACACAATTTAGTATAATTATGGAGAATTCTTGGCGACAACCAGAGAAAGGTATTTTAAAGAATAAAAATGAAGGAGGTGGTTTCACTATAACGAATTCATCTGTCACCGGTCATTTAACTAATGATAGTAGACATCGAAGACGATCATCATCATCAAATCACACTCGAAAACATCATCATCGTCATCATCATCATCATCATCATCATAAATCATCATCTAACCGACAGAGTTCAAAACTTCAACAACAATCTAATTCTCGTCAGCATACAAATGATAATGATAATAGTTTACAACGAATTGATTCTTCCCTTTCTGATTGTTCTTGTTATTTATATGAAAATGAGAAAAAAGGTAGAAAACATCAAACTCATGATGATACTATCATTCTACGACATCATAATCAACGTAATAATAATAATAATGTTAATAGTCGATCGAATAGCTTGAATGATACAAGTTTACATTCAGAATTTTGTTGTTCAATAGAAGGTGATAGAAGTCCAAGTGGTAGTTCATCTGCATCAAGTCATTGTTTAGGATTTTCTTCAAATCATTCCTCCTCATCAACATCAACATCGTCAATTTCATCGTCATCATCATCATTCACTGATTTAAATAATATTGGTCATCATCATCATCATCATCATCATCATGATAAAGATTATGATAATCATAGTTTAAGTTCTTCATCGACTTCATCAACTACAAGCACTTGTTCCACTGCTTTAGAGGTGAATATAATGAAAGGTGTAAGTCAACATCAACATCATCATGGTACTTTAAAAGAATCCAACTATACAACAGATCGTGATCGTACAAAACGATTAGATGATATAAATGACAAATTAAATCGATCCAGTCAACAACAACAACAACATCAATCAAAAAGCTATGATTATCGTACAGAAATTTCTCAGACAATTAAACATGGAAACAATAATCTGGATACAGATGTTATTACTAACGAACGAGAGGTTTGTAATGCGTTTTCTTTTTGAAAATTAGAATTACTAATCTATATTAGTTGAAGGAACATTGAGAACCTGGAAGTACCGGACAGTTGTTCTTCGTCCAACTAGTATGGGACTTCTCAGCAGTGCGCGCACCTAGTGGAGTCAACCAAGTCGAACATGAGAATGGCTACTCAGTGTGATGACATTAGATGTAGGTCGCGGTATATTGTCAACTGACAGAAGTAGGAAATATGGACCATTGAATTCTGACCCAGTGACTAGCTCATCGGCAACATGTTAGCCCCAGAAACCGAAGGCCCTAGGTTCGACCCCTGTCGCGGCGGGGTGGGGTCATGGGTGTGCACACTTGAGGAATCCCATACTAGTCGAACGAAGCACAGCTGTCCAGTGCTCCCAGGTTCCTAATCTTCTGCTAAATGATGCCCGTTCATGATGAATTCCAACCTAAAAAGCAATTAATAAACCTCCACATAAAATCATAAGTGTTTAATTTACACACAGTTCAGTTTAATCGCATAGAATGAGATGATAAGAAAATAGAGAATATTTTTACCTTGAGAGACAATAATTTTGATGCTTTCATGTTCTCTGCCGTGGATGGATTAAGCGTGGAGCTTTCATTGTCATTCTAGACGCAACATCATCAGCACAAACTTCAGAAGTGAGCTATCAAGTTTTTCCCACAAGTGTGTTTGGTAATTGTCTTCATGGCCTTGTCTGTGATTGGTTGTCTCTATATTTGCTTTGATTGGCTGTCCTGATGACGTGAATTTTGACCTTCTTGTCGTTTTTTTTGTATTGGTTGATAGATTGGGTCAATGTCAGTATGTCTGTTGATTGCTGGCCTGACTGATTAAGCTGTACTAGAAAAGATTTTGGGAGAGGCCCCATGCTAGTTGGGCGAAACAGCCATCCATAGCGCCTAGGTTTCTAATGTTTCTTCAACTGATGTCAATGCATGATGAATGATGAAACATGAGCTAAAAATATCCTTCATTATCTCAGAATTATTCCATGCATAAAATGTATTTAGTATTACACTAAATTCTATAGTAATTCTTATCTTCTTTTGTATTACAGCATCAACAACGATGCTCTCGTCGACACAGTTGTAAACATCATCGTCGACATTGTCGATATCGTAAACATCATACACATAAACATCATAATGAATCTGACCAAGAAATACCAGGTACAGTTAATTTAACTGGTGGTGAATCATTAGGATCTTCATCAAGTACAAATAATAATTGTACTTCTGGTCTTTCTGAAGCCTCTTCATCTTCTTCTGGATTAACTGTTTCTCATCATTGTCGACGTTCTAGGACAAGAAGTATTACAGATGAAGATGGTACAACTTCTGGTTCACGTAGAAGTAGTCCACTTCCACCAGTTCCAACAATTTTATGCAATGCAGGCCAACAAACTGATGAATTCAGTTTGTTGAAAGCAGTTGGTCTTACTATATCCTCTAAAACAAGTAAGTCTTTGATCATTTATAACTTGTAGTCTGTGTGTGTGTGTGTGTGTGTGTGTGTGTGTGTGTGTGTGTGTGTGTGTGTAAATAACACCAACTGTCAACCACTAATTCCTGTCGTCTCGCGGACTCCAACCAGGAGCAGTCTAAATCTCCAGTTAAGGATTTCATCAACTGGTCCCAGGTCTTGAATCCTATTCCAACCTAATCCAACTTCCCCTAGCATAGCAAGTTGAGGTAGACTATGGTTCGGTATATGCAGTATATATGCAAGCCATCTCATTGGTCGACTAAGTAAGGTTCACAGCTTCATTAATTGACTTGCCTGTCTTACCCAGTAGCCTTCGCTTCACCTCAACATTGCTCACACAGTGATTCTCATTGAGACTCAAATTGAACAACCATTACCTTGAATACCAAACTTAAGTACATCCAAATAGGATGGAACTCACAGCCTGGATTCCACTATTAGCTACCACCAAGCAAATAAAATGAAAATGAAACTTGAGACATGCGTTGAAGGAGCGTAAATATGCTGCTAAGAGTGATCAGTGATCATCAGCAGAAAAGTAAACGTATCAGTGACTGCTATAAATTGGCTCTGTCTATGGTATAATTGACAAAGCCTAAAATCTGATAGGTTGTTCAACATAGAAGGGGAAACTTAACAAGTGAACTAAAAGTAATAGTAGGCTGATGGAACTACATTTGACATACACATACTTTAAGTCACTTCAACAAGTGATTCAATCTTCCATTTTATATGAAAAGTATTCTAGACATTGATTCATGTAGACTTCCTTGAGAACTAAACTTGCAGACTATTTCGTTTGTTTTTTTAGATCAAAAATATAAACTACTGACTATTAATAAATAAGTAGTTTATCGGTAGTACTAAACTGGGATAGTTATTTACCACATTCATTCCTAGTTGCATTTATTTTTGATTATCTAATCACTTCATGCAGATCAAGACTTCTAACCTTTCGGGAGTTTTATGCTTTTCTTCCCTTCTGAAATCTTACCCTGTAACGTTTGATCTGATATTATATAACTTTCTGTTTCCAACCAATTTCTCATTTTTGTTTTTGTTTTTTTTCGTTCCACTTTTATCTATACACTTCAAAGATGCTAATTCTGAAACAGTTGATAGTGATGATAATAATAATAATAATACAGCTGAAAATGATGCAAACCGTAAATCTTATTTAGATTCTGAAGGTGGTGAATGGGAAGAAGTTGAATGTAATGAATCCGGTTGTGAAGAATGTCAGAATACTACTGTTTCTATTAATGATAGGAAGTACCAATCCAATCATTTGATAGCGCAAGCGCCTATCATTTCATCGTATCCTCAATCATCTTCAAATCGTTCAGGTCAATTTCAAACTGTTGTCAAATCATCTCATCATTTTAATCCATTGTCATCGTCTATACCACAACAACAATCATTTAATCCATTGAATTCATCTTTGCCAACATTTCATCAACAGTCGAATTCAAATAATTCATCGTTAAATTCATCGAAAACATCACGATCTGGTAGTGGCTATAATAGTGGTTTACCGTCGAATATAGGCAATTCGTCAACATCCCATTTATTAAATACTCATACTCTTACTACTGATAACAATTCAAGTAGTATGTTTCGTAATTCAGTAAATAATGCAACGAATCCTATAACTACTAATAATAATCGTACAACATCATCTTCATCTTGTTCATCTTCAACAAATAATAACCTAAATATTACCCAACAACAATCTGTAGCAATGAAACCACCTTTTGGTATGGTCAATAACTCACTGAAATTTAGTTCAGGTGATTACTACTTATTTTAAAACTTATTTATCATATGAATGCTCTTCTCTTCTGACTAACTAACTGACTGACAAAATCACCGTAGAACCCCGCACACAAGTTGGCACACTTCACAGCAGCACACAAAGAACAGATGGATAAAAAAAAGTGATATCAAAGAAGGCAAAGTTGTGTGATAGAATAAACAATTGAGGATAAAGATTAGTGCTAACACTCAAGATGTGGTAAATACATCTGCGCCACCTATTGTGACCGACTTTCAGCCATGTTACAAAGAGTTGTCAACCACTGATCCCTTTCGTCTCGAGGACCCCAACTAGGTAGTCCATATCCGCCTCACACGACTCATACCAACAATAAGAGACTTTGTCAACTGATACCACATCTTGGTTTGCCCCCTCCTTGAACCCTCTTCCAACCTAATCCAAATTACCCTAATATGACACAACTCCTCAATATTGTGAGTTGGATCAAGATGAAACAATTATCCAAATGTCTTAAATCTTTCAGTTGGTTGTTTTTGGATCACCGAAAAGGCGAATTCTTTGTCAACTACATGACGGTTATCGATTAGGCTTGATTGTATGAAGATGGCACTCAGTGAGAATCAATGCCCTTATGTTTTATGTAGTCTAGTAGCTATTCCCAATTTAAGGATAGGGAGTGAAGTGATTGAATACGTCTACCATTTCACTTACTCAAGAAGTTTCATCAGCTCGAACGGTTAATTGTTGACGAAATCTCAGCTTGGATAGAGAAAACGTGTCTGGTATATTTGCTCACTCGCGCCACCTCTGGCGCCAAATGGTGAGATGTGCGGCTATTCATAAAAAGACGAACATACTACGCTCCTGTAAGGCGGCTTTGAGACATGCCTATTATAAGTTGAAAACATGAAGCGGTTATACTTTTTTGGCCATAGGTATCTTCTTAGCATTGCTTAGGATCACCATGTGAGCAATTTTGACATCAGGTGAAGGGCACTAAACAAGATAGGCCAATCGATTTGCAAGGCTATGAACTTTAGTCAATTGAGATGGCTTGGACAAGTACCTACATATGCCTAGTCATCATCTACCTGGACATGACATGCTAAGGGAAGTTGGATTAGGTTGGAATAGGGTTCAGGTAGGCCAGACCAAGACATGGCACCAATCGATGAATTCTCTTACTGTTGGTCTAAGCCGTGGTAGGAGGTGTGGACTATCTAGTTTGCGACGCCCGAAGCAATAGGACTATTGGGATCCTAGAGATCTTAGACAAGTGAATTCCTCTTTTTTAATAATATTCATAATGAGTAGTCAGTCTCACTCTTCCTTTTAACTCACCTATTCCTTTAGAGGAGAAGTTTCCCACTAACTGAGAATGGACAACATCTTACATTTGTAATCCAACCTGTTTATTATATCAGCAACAATCTATAGTTAATATAACAGTAAAACCTGGGCACTGTGGTACAATCGAATTCCATTATTAATAATTTATAAGATTTATCACATAGTGAAGGAACAGTATTGTTGACTAGATTACGTTTTGAACATAATTTTGTTATCCATAATCATATCAAGATAACTAAACAACTTTGAGATATCCTTTATATAGTCGAAATTCCCTTGCCTTCTTTATGATATGAGGTGGTAAGTTTTGCCATATATCCAGAATAGTCATTGTTACTGCATGTAGTAGGTGTTGATTCGATAAACAAAAATTCGATGGTTATCAATCTCTCCCTCTACCCTGCAATGTTAATTTTTAGAGATTTTCACTGTGCTCCATCCATCCTATTGTTTGGTTGTATGTCATCATATGCATAGCTATGGCTGAACTTTTTTCTAAATTCTTTACCTTACTAGAATCTACCGATTTCGATTTAGATAGGTTTCTGTGCTGGAATAGCCTCCAGCCTAATTGACTCCGACAGGTCGACTATTTTGACCGATGTATTTGACCTGGGAATCATTGCAAGAGATTTGGTAAACTAAGTTATTCCGCTTCATTGAATCAATAGGATCCTTTAACTCACAAAGCTTATTTCGAAGTGAGTTTTATAAGCTAAAATCTCACTCTAATTCCAGCCAGCTTTATTGAGTATCGTACGAAGTGTTTCTAAGATGACTTCTGTGGAGGTTTTGAATTCTCTCTTCACAGTATTACCACTACTATTATTACCACTGTTAATAATTGTGTTACTGATATTTTTCCTACGACTTCAAATCTTCTCACTCTATGTCAGTTAAAGTTGACTTCGTAAAGTGTCTAACTAACAGGACCAAAAAACTCACAAGTAAAACAGGAAGATCTAGGACAAGTAACCAGATACATTAAAGACACCTTACTCATCATTAATTACCCCTCCAAATTAATTGATAAGTTCCTTAGGAATTGTAAGAAAAATATAACTAATATTAGTAACACAGGTGGGAACAACATCACTCATTGGGAGGCAGGTACATCCAGCTGAAGAGTCCTAAATAGGACGAAATGCGCATCTTGGATTCCACTGCTAGCCACTGCCCATCATTACTACACATAATAGTAACAAGAATGTTAATGATAGTACTGGTAATACTGTGAAGAGAGAATTCAAAACCTCCACAGAAGTCATCTTAGAAACACTTCGTACGATACTCAATAAAGCTGGCTGGAATTAGAGTGACTTTTTAACTTATAAAACTCACTTCGAAATAAGCTTTGTAGTTTAAAAGATCCCATTGGTTTACCGAATTCTTTTGCAACAATTACAGGGTCAAATTAGTCGACCTCCCCGGGGTCGATTAGGCAATTTGAACACAAAACACCTAGCTAGATGAAAAGTAGTAGATCTTAATAAGGTAAGCAACTTAGAAAAATGTTCAGTCATAGCTCTATGTATGTGATTATACACAACCACACAATGGTGTGGATGGGATAGGGTGAAAATCTCTAAAAATAACATTGTAGGGTGGAGGGAGAAATTGATAACCATTGAATGTTTATTTATCAAATCAATATCTACTACATACAGGGACAACAATGAATGAGCGCCTGTTCAGGATATCTGGGAAGTCTTACCACCCCGTATAACAAAGGGTGCGAGGAAATGAGGACTATATGAAGGGTGTCTTAAGTTGTGCAGTTACCTTGATGTGACTATGATTATTATTATTATTATTATTATTATTATTATTATTATTATTATTATTATTTGTCCAGTGGGTTCCTAGTGGAATATAAGGCTTCAGCAGTACTCCTCCATTGGACTCTGTTCTCTGCAATCTTGTGAACCTGACTCCATGACAGCCCACAAGCTGTAATTTCTTCCTCTCATGATCTCCTGCATGTCACCCTCGGCACCGACGCCCAACTCGTCGTTTCCAATCTGGGTTCCACTCGAGCAACTGGCCTGATGTGTGATGTCCCCAGTCGGCCTTCTCAGTGTATGCCCAATCCATCTCCACTTCCTGCCAGTGCATATTTGTTGAGTGATAGATTCTTGGTTGGTTCTTTGCCAGCCATAGTTCCTTGTTGCTTATTCTTTCTGACCATCTGATCTTCAGTAACGAGCCAGCGTAGGCAGTTGTTGGTGAATGTCTGCAATTTGTTGGAAATGCCTTTCTTAACGCTCCGAGTCTCTCAACCATATAGAAGAGCTGACTTTACATTAGTGTTGAAAATCGGGATGTTGTTCACGCTTTGTGCTGTGTGCAGAAGATTCACACTGGTTTCAGGTTAATGAAGGCCTGTCTTGCTTTTCCGATCCTGGCTGGCTTTGACGTTCTCGTCTGTGCCTGTGCCGCCTGTAATTGAAACGGTGCTGCCTAGATAAGTGAAAGAGGCTACTTCCTTTAAGTTTCTCCCGTTGATGGTGATTGGAGCTTGTTGTTGTTGGTCGAGTATCTTCATCACCTCTGTCTTCTCTACATTCACTTGAAGGAAGTCCCGTCTTCGCTGCCTGGCCTCTTCTGTCAACTTGTTGGATGTTGCTAGTAGATCTTCAAGTTTGTACGACATTAGACATGAATGAGTATCGGTGAAATCCAAATCTTCTAGGATCTTTTCCCTAGTCCAGGGTATCCCCCCTCTTCTCACTCCTCACGGTTTGTTCCATGACCAAGTCCACTACAATGAGGAAGATCATGGGCGATAGTAGACAGCTTTGTCTTACTCCTGTCTTCACTCCTACTTCAAAGGCATGACTGAGCTTCCCATTGTGAATTACTTGACATGAGGAGTCTTCATATAGTTGTTGAATGATATTGATGAAGGTTTGTGGTATTTCGTAGTGTTGAAGCAACTGCCAAATTATCTGTCGGTTGATGCTGTGGAAGGCCTTTTCAAAGTCGATGAGGTTGAGGTAGATTTGAGTTGACTGCCATTCTATGCTCTGTTCTATGATGATACGTATCGTTGCATTTTGATGCGCACATGATTTGTACTCCCTGAATTCACCCAGTTTGTTCCGATCGTATTTTTGAATGCAGGGCATCTTTTAGTCTTTCCAGTATGATACGGCCTAATATTTTGCTTGCACTGGGTGGACACTAGCATGATTCCGCGCCAGTTCTTGCAAAGACTTAGGTCACCCTTCTTCCAATCTGGACGTATTTTTCCTTCTTTCTAGACCTTCTGTAATATTGGTGTAAGCATGTCCGCTGCTGTCCCTGCGTCTGTTCTCGGTGCTTTTGGCATGATTCCATCTGGTCCTGCTGCTTTCCCGCATTTCAGTAGCTTTATGGCGTTCAAGACTTTGACTTTCATCGGAGGGCTTGTGTTGACTGGTAGTTCTGTGGCTGCAAATGGTATTTCTGTTGATATGACCATTGGAGACAATAGATTGTGTTCGAAATGTAATCTAGTCAACAATATTGTTCCTTTACTGTATGATAAATCTAATAAATTAATGAAAATAGGATTATAATCTATAATTGTTTGTCGGCTTCTAGTATAATGATATTAGAAGTGAAATATTGAAGGTTTAAGATACATTTTTGTCTCAATCATAGAGCATCGAATAAAAATGAGTAATATCCATTCACCTGGTTCTAGATTGATTCTAATTTTCTCACCTTAACTGATCATATTTCAACTAGTGAGTCAAGAATCCAGTTTCAAGGAACTAGAAAATTAAAGTCATTTGAAAACTCCTCTTTCTTATAAAGATACACTTGAACAAATGATAAACTAATCATATACTCAGAGTTGTTTTGGTTCTCTCTTTTAGTTTTCATGATAATGAAACAACTAAGTTTCTCATGACAAATGAAACCTCTATAATGTGAATAAATATCTTTCATTCATGACTTTAACTAGTATTTCAACTCCTATCTAAGTGGCCATCTAATTTTCTGCATATTCCATAGTGTATAGTTGACAATTTCATGTCATAACCTTGTACTACTCAGTTCAACCTCGTTGAACTGGTTTACTATCCTTGTTTTGTATCAATCTATTCCTCTGAATATGCATCAATTTGGATAAAAAGTATATTTGTACAAATCTCAGTATGTTTGAAATGGAATAACTTCAATGTTTCGTGTGGTGAAGTTCAGTCTAAGCTTTCTCAGATAAATTATTATTTTTATTATTATTATTACTTGTCCCTTGAGTTCCTAATGGAACATATGACTTCAGTAGCACATCTTCAGTGCACTCTGTTGTCTGCAAACTTTTGAACATGGTTCCACGGCAGCCCAGAACCTCTCATTTCTTCCTCACACGATCTCCTCCATGTCACCCTCGGCATCGACGCCCAACTCGTCGCTTCCCATCGGGGTTTCACTCAAGCAACTGGCCTGGCGCTTGATGTCCCTAGTCGGCCTTCTCAGTGTATTCCCAATCCATCTCCACTTCCTTCCAGTGCATATTTGTTGAGCGATAGGTTCTTGGTTGGTTCGTTGCCAGCCAGAGTTCCTTGTTGCTTATTCTTTCTGGCTCTCAGGCAAATAGTAAGACATAAATATTCAATTTAGAGGTTTGTATTCATCACAAATGGACATCAGTTTGAGAAAAATTGAAAATCCTTAGAGTATTGTACAGCTGTTTCGTCCCAGTAGTTCGCGCCCAGGACCTTCAACTCCCATAGTGACCAGATTAGGTAGTTATTCAGCCAGCCATTCGGTCAACATCCAATGGTCAGCATTTTCCTGCTTTTATCAATTCGTTATAATAGCGTGACCATAATTCGTTGCCCTTGGAGAGTATTGATCCTCATACTCAAGAATCGGTTAACCCAGTCTAGGCTTGGGTGTGTGTACTCTTGAAGAACATTACGTTAGGACGAAATAGCTGTCCAGTGTTTCTAGGTGTTCACTGGTTGTCGAACTGATATCGGACTGTGATGAATACTACCTTGAAATATATATATATATATATATATATATATATATATATATATATATATATCTTCTTCACATTCAACCGTATATTGATAATCTGTATGTTTCTATACACAAATAGATGAATTTACTGGTCAACACAGTGAACCCGAAGTTGATGCCCACTTAATGAACAATATATCATCGTTGAATACAAATGAACAACAGAGTTTAGGGAATAAACTATCAATTAATCCTAATATGAATAACAGTCATGTTAATCCAATTTATCAACCAATGAATACCGCCTATTCATCATCTTCATGTATACAACATTCGTACGGTCAATCATTGGATTCACAACCTGTACAACATCAACCAAAGCTACCGATACGTAGTGATAAACCTAATTCCCTACAATTATTCACCTCATCACAAATTAACAATCCAGGTGTGAACATGACAAATAATCGACTTGTTTACGATGGAACTCATCAAATAGAATATACTACTGCTACTACTACTACTACTAATAATAATATGAATAATGTACACGGTAAGCATTCCTCTTTGTTACTGTTACCATTGTCATTTTCTTGCTTGATAAGTGGAGTATATACACACATAAATTCGTACTGGGTGATAAAGATTGATGGTGAAATGAAAATCTACACCGCAACAGAATTCCAACTAGCCTCTAGGTTGCCGACTGAATTTATTTATGTGTTACTATCGCTTGTTGATACTCATATTGGTTACTTAGTCAGAGATTTTTCATCTAAATCTAACTGAATTAGAGAAGGCAGCATCATATTGATTATCACTTTGACTATTTGAGATAGCTGTGGTGAACACAACTCACTTCACTTCTGACTTAGAAACTGATCAATGGGGAGTTAAAACTGATTTACAATGAAAACAAGATATAATTTTGGAGATCAGTGTTGTGTATAGGAAACCTTCACATTCGAATCGGTGTTTAGACTATCTCAGTTAAAGAAGGCTTAGTTAAATGCCTAAGTAATAGGGCATAAAAGCTTACTAGTAGGACAGATAGTCTGCGACAAGAAATTAGACATCTTAAGAATACCTTGAGTCTCAATAATTACTCACCTAAATCTATAAATAAATTCACAAGAAATCGAAAGAAAAATATTAATGTGTTCCCATGTAAGGAAGTAGCTTCGGAAGCGTTACGAAGAGTTCCCAATCAGTCTGCTAGGATTAAAGTGTTATTTAAACCAACAAACTCGCTTAGAAACACACTTGGTACGTTAGAAGATCCTATTGACCTAATTTAGCAAAACAGTTTAGTTTAGCGAATCCTCTGGAATTGCTGCGAAATCAAATACAAATATTAAATTAGTCGACCAGGGTTGATTAGAACAGCAGAGCACAAAAACTTAGCTAAATCAAGATTAGTCGATCCTAACAAGATAATATTTGGCAGCTACTTCAACACTACGGACTGAGTGCCACAAACCTTTATCAATCACATTCAACAGCTGTATGCTATATAATGAGGCTACATGCTAAATGATTCACAACAGAAACCTCAGTGATGCGTTCGAAGTGAAGACAGGAGTAAGACAAGTTTGCCGCCTACTATGACTGACAACCTTCCTGATTGTGGTCGACTCGACTCGACTCGACTCGACTGGATCATGCAAGCGACAAGTGTGAGGAGCGAGAAGATGGGCATACACTGGCTGTTTGACCGATGAAAAGAGCCTAGAAGAAGATTTGGATTTCCCCCACGCTGATGATCCATGTCTAATGTCTTATGTCGCACAAACTCGAAGATGTACAGGCTAAGACTAAGAAGTTGACAGGAGAGGCAAGGCAGAGAAGACGGAAGTACCTTCAGGTGAACAACAACAACAACAACAACAGTAAACACCGACCACCATCAATGAGAGAAATCTAAACGAAGTTGTCTCTTTCACCTACCTACCTACCTACCTTCACCTTCGTAGACAGCATCGTCTCAACTGCAGGTGGCACAGGCACAGATGACGATGTCAAAGCCAGTCAGGATCGGAAGGACAGCAACACAGACCTTCCTTCTTCTATCTGAAATCAGTGTGTGGATCTACTGCACTGCACTCAGCATGTGGAACAACATCCGGATCTTCAACAGTAACTCAGTCAAGTAATTCAGTGCCTGTATGTGATGATTGAGAGACTTGACACGTTACGAAAAGTATTCGCAACAAACTACATACATTCATCAACAGCTGTTGCCTACGGTCACTGGATAGTGAAGATGGAGATCAAATGGATGAGGAGAATAATAAGAATAAGTGACAAGGAAGTCTGACCTGCTAACTAAAGCAACCAACGAAGCAAGAACCAACCTCTCGCCCAACAAATATGCAGAAGAAGAGGATGGAAATGGATTGTGTTGGGTTGGACATAAACTGAGAAGACAGTGTGAGGATATCACGCGGCATGCCAGGTCGTTGAGTGTAAGTGAAATGGGAAACGACGAGTCAGGCGTCCGAGGGTGACCTGGAGACGATCATGTGAGGGAGAAATGAAAGGTGATGGGCAGTAGTGGAGCCAGACTTCAGAGAAGAGAGTGAAGTGGGGACGTGTTACTGAAGCCCTATGTTCCACTGGGAACCCAAGGGACAAATAAATAAATAAAATAATTAAGATAATTAATAATATGATGAAAAGCTCGGCTACAACTCTGCACGCAATAACACACAATCACACAGTAGAGTGGGATAGACCGATAGTATTAAAAACTAACTGAATCGGATGAACGGAGAGATCGATAGTCGAATCTTTGTTTATCGAATCAACACCAAATACATGCAGTAATAGAAACTATTCTGTACCCGTCCCAGATATATGAAAAATTCTACTACCCTTCTCATCACAAAGAAGGAGAGAAAATTAGGACTATATAAACTGTCTCAAACTTGCGGAGTTATCTTGATATACAGTTGTAATTCTCATTGTGGCATCAAAAATTAGATATTCAGCGAAGAGGACTCATTTCAACGAATTTATTCACAACCTGATTATGTTAATAATAACAATAATAATAATGTTGTTAGTTGATGACGCAAAGGTCGAATAATAACAAAAGGGAGGAGGGGTTACCTAAGATTTTTAAATCCTTTATAACGTCCATATAGATTACAAAGGGATGAAAACTTGGTGGAGTTAATAAACAATCAAAAGATCAGGCAATATAAATGACATAACCAGATTAATTGGAATAAACTGCAATTCTTGGGAGGATTGAATGAAGTAACACCGAAAACCATTGAGTGTAAAAACATAACGAATCATGACTAAGTTAAGGCCAACATAGAAACAAAGACGCATAAACATCAGACTTGAGTTGATGGATAACCAAAATCTCTGCTGCTTTTAGATGTTGAAGACACAGAGTAAACGTGAGGTATTTGAACGAATTCTATAGACAACCTTAAAATCATTGTCAGTGGTCAGTTGAATGGTTGAAATAGATTAAGTGTTCAAGGATAGAACTTTTGATGTATTTTCTTTCACCCTTATCAAAGCATGCTGAAATATGGTCTTGTATACATGTTGACAACAATATCCGACTACGACCAATGTACCTTTCTCCACAGAAGCAGATGAATTGATAGATACACATGTAGATTAACTGTTGGGGAATATTGTCTTGTACACAAACGGAGAACACTTTACGACTGGTATGGGTCAAATGAAGTTTCGCTAAGAAAAAGGTCCTACTAATTGATCTAGAAAGATGATTTTTCAGAATGTTTGATGCTGCATCACCTTTAACATCTAGATTCATGAACAAAGTCTTTTTAGAAACTGACATGATGACTGACTGATTTTGTATATCTTTGTTATTTATCTTATCAACAAATACATCAAATACATCAAATACATCAAATACATCAAATACATCAAATACATCAAATACATCAAATACATACATACATACATACATACATACATACATACATACATACATACATACATACATACATACATACATACATACATACATACATACATACATACATACATACATACATACATACATACATACATACATACATACATACATACATACATACATACATACATACATACATACATACATACATACATACATACATACATACATACATACATACATACATACATACATACATACATACATACATACATACATACATACATACATACATACATACATACATACATACATACATACATACATACATACATACATACATACATACATACATACATACATACATACATACATACATACATACATACATACATACATACATACATACATACATACATACATACATACATACATACATACATACATACATACATACATACATACATACATACATACATACATACATACATACATACATACATACATACATACATACATACATACATACATACATACATACATACATACATACATACATACATACATACATACATACATACATACATACATACATACATACATACATACATACATACATACATACATACATACATACATACATACATACATACATACATACATACATACATACATACATACATACATACATACATACATACATACATACATACATACATACATACATACATACATACATACATACATACATACATACATACATACATACATACATACATACATACATACATACATACATACATACATACATACATACATACATACATACATACATACATACATACATACATACATACATACATACATACATACATACATACATACATACATACATACATACATACATACATACATACATACATACATACATACATACATACATACATACATACATACATACATACATACATACATACATACATACATACATACATACATACATACATACATACATACATACATACATACATACATACATACATACATACATACATACATACATACATACATACATACATACATACATACATACATACATACATACATACATACATACATACATACATACATACATACATACATACATACATACATACATACATACATACATACATACATACATACATACATACATACATACATACATACATACATACATACATACATACATACATACATACATACATACATACATACATACATACATACATACATACATACATACATACATACATACATACATACATACATACACAATCGGTGCTTTACAGTTATTCACAATATATTAGCATCTATAATCTGTTTTCCACTAAAAATTGAATTGTATATTGTTATGACTGTTATGTTTTAGATAATTTTGAATCCTATTACCAACATCCTTATGAAGAGGTGGCTACAGATGATTACGCCGAAACTAACAGTCAAATGAATTCTCTTCAACATCAACAATATCCTTTCCAATATCATCATCATCAGTCACACTTATCACCCACTGAACCAACATTGACACCATCACAACAGCATATATATCATCAACATGGTGGTGGTGGTGTAATAATGTTGCCAACATCAATTAACTCATTGAGAAGCACAAATGATACAGATGGATTTGGATATATCACAAGAGGAATAGATAATCCTGGAGGAGATGATGATGAAAACCTTAGTTTAGATGAAGGCAATAATAATAATAGTACTAGTGGTAATAGTAATCCTCAATGTGGTAATATCTTTAATCCGTATCCTACAATGGCGTTTATGAATACTCCATCAAATTATATCCAGTCTAATACCAATGCTGTTACTAATAATATACCATCAAATTTTAATCCATCTTTTCCAATTTGGAGTGGAAATGATGCTTCAGTTAATCGATTTCAAATGAATCCCGATAATTTATCATCAATTCTTCATACTACTAACGCTAGTAATAGTAGTAGTAGACAAATGGTACGTTTCAAAAAATATCCTATATACTTCTGTCTTTTCTTTCTCATGTTCTGTTTTAAGATTTTTCCTCCACTAGAATCATTTTACAATAGAATAAGAGTGATCTTGAGATTGTTGATGATTTATGTCACACTTTATCATGTCATAAGGTAGAAAGACTCAACTGATACTTGTTAATCGGATGGAGATAATCGTTAGGAAGCCGTGGTCAACTTAGGTTTTATGCTCCTTCGCACTCGTCAGCAAGGTGTTTCTCCAACCCCTATCACCCAATGTTGCAGTCAGAGACGTTACCAGTGAGCTATTCGGGCAACAATTGACCTTCCTGTGTACTTTTCACATCCTGTCGTAAAGGTACACTGATGAAATATATGGGGTAGGATGGGTTGGAGGATCCATCGAGATAATAATATCAGATATGCGTCAAAATATCGCTATCTAAAAAGCGTTTCTCGCCACCCGAGTGCAAATCGTTGCTCCACGACTGGTCTTCGATGGTACCCCGACTGACAGTAGAGAGTGAAGTGGTTGAGCACGTTGAACACTTCACTTACCTGGGAAGTGGTATCATCCCTGGTAACTCAGTGGCTGATGAAATCCCTACATGGATACAAAAGGCTCGGTTGGCTTTTGCCGAAATACTTCATCTATGGCGCCGCTGCGATATCCCGTTGCCCATGAAGGGTCGAGTGTACTGTGCTGTGAAACATGGATATTAAAGGTAGAAAACACAAGAAAGCTTCAGGTATTTGACCACCGTTGCCGTGTTTCGTGGTGTCATCATATAAGTAACGCAGGAGTCAGACGTAGACTGTTGCGGTTGTGAACCTTTCTCGGCTGAAACGGTTGACTGGGACATGTGTTATGCATACCTAACCACCGTATGCCTCGTAGCACAATGTCGGCCGTAATAGGTTCAGGCTGAAAAAATCCTCAAAATGACCAGACTAAAACATAGTATCATTGCCCGAAGTCCTTGACAGTTGGTTTGAGCTATGTGGGGAGATGCAGACTAGCTGACTGGGGTCAGCGGGACAAGAAAAACCACTAGTGGTTGGAGACTGACTGTAGGTGATATGGCTGAGAACGTATGCCAGTGGCGCAGATGTTTACACATATTATCCTAATCGTAACCGTTATAGTTAATCTTATCAGTTCCTCATTCCTCTTTCCTGTCTTTTACTACTTTCTACTTCAAACTTCTTTTAACTGACTTTTCTTTCCTTCTTCATCTTCCATTTGATTGCCTTGTTACTTGATGTAGTGATATAAGGTAAGGTGTGGTAACTTAGACCATTACGCAGTAATGTTTGGTCCTTGTTCATCTTGATGATGTCTAAAAAGCATATGAAGTAGTACATCAATAGGTCATAGGACTCCAATATAGACCTGCCTAAGTATATGATTTCTGTGACTGGGTGGTGTTATTTCTTACTCCATACACAATGTATCGTTTACATGAAGCTTTGTATCAGTTAACTGATCTTTGTAAAAGCAGAATAGAATAAAACAAAGATGAACGTAGATAAATCCTCAAACATATAAGTAGTATAGCATTAGTATTACTCAAATTCTCATCTCTTTGTATAACAGTTACTTTGGTGAATTGATTAAAACTATTGTACTATAATTCATCAAGAGACTAACAAAATAGCTTAGATTCATTGATACTTCACGTCGATGAAAAATAAACAGAATCAATGGAGACTCTCACATATAAGTGGATTTTTTCAAGTTGCTAACACTTCAAAGTAGTATACAAAGAACAGTTGGATAGAAAAGAAGTGATATCGAAGTAGTATGAGAGAATAAACAAGTTTCAGAAGACGTGAAATAATAAATACATCTATGCCATTGTAACAGATTTTTAATTACGTCAGCAGGAAACTTCAACCTCCGATTCCTATCGTCTCAGAGACCCTAGCTAGGTAGTATACATCTCAATACACGGTTCAAATCATGTGAGTCAGAGACTTCATGTATTGATGTTATGCATTGTTGTTGCCATCTTGAATCATATTCTAACGTAATCCACCTTCTCCTAGCTTGACACATCGAAGTAGACGGTGGCTTGGCGTGCTCAACACATTTCCAAGCCACTTCAATCGATGAAGGTTCACAACATCAGTACGTTTCGCCTAACCACGACAATGCTCACATGGATCAAACTGCAACGCTACGCATCCATCATAGAACAGAGCAAAGAATGCCAGTCAACTCAACTCTCTACCTCAACTTCATCGATTTTGAAAAAGCCTTCGACAGCGCCGACCGAGAAGTAATTTGGCAGCTGCTTCAACACTACAGACTGGGTGCCACAAACCTTTATCAACCACATTCAACAGCTGTATGCTATATAATGAGGCTACATACCAAATGATTCACAACAGAAACCTCAGTGATGCGTTCGATGTGAAGACAGGAGTAAGACAAGGTTGCCGCCTACTATGACTGACAACCTTCCTGATTGTGGTCGACTCGACTCGACTCGACTCGACTGGATCATGCAAGCGACAAGTGTGAGGAGCGAGAAGATGGGCATACACTGGCTGTTTGACCGATGAAAAGAGCCTAGAAGATTTGGATTTCCCCACGATGATGATCCATGTCTAATGTCTGATGTCGCACAAACTCGAAGATGTACAGGCTAAGACTAAGAAGTTGACAGAAGAGGCAAGGCAGAGAAGATGGAACTACCTTCAGGTGAACAACAACAGTAAGCACCGACCACCATCAATGAGAGAAATCTAAACGAAGTTGTCTCTTTCACCTACCTACCTACCTACCTTCACCTTCGTAGACAGCATCGTCTCAACTGCAGGTGGCACAGGCACAGATGACGATGTCAAAGCCAGTCAGGATCGGAAGGACAGCAACACAGACCTTCCTTCTTCTATCTGAAATCAGTGTGTGGATCTACTGCACTGCACTCAGCATGTGGAACAACATCCGGATCTTCAACAGTAACTCAGTCAAGTAATTCAGTGCCTGTATGTGATGATTGAGAGACTTGACACGTTACGAAAAGTATTCGCAACAAACTACATACATTCATCAACAGCTGTTGCCTACGGTCACTGGATAGTGAAGATGGAGATCAAATGGATGAGGAGAATAATAAGAATAAGTGACAAGGAAGTCTGACCTGCTAACTAAAGCAACCAACGAAGCAAGAACCAACCTCTCGCCCAACAAATATGCAGAAGAAGAGGATGGAAATGGATTGTGTTAGGTTGGATATAGACTGAGAAGACAGTGTGGGGGATATCATGCGCCATGGAGAAGATCGTTTGAGGAATATATATATATAGTTAATTTATCAGGTACACTTAGGGATACGTGACAGTATACTAAATATAGTTTGGTAAGTCGAGCAATGAACTGTAGCTCTCACAGAAGAAATATGAAGTGAATTTAATAATATGAATTTGGTTATGATTTTATTTTCTACTGATTTCATTCTTTTTGAAATGTTTTTATATATATGTATAGGTTGATGGTGTTGGTATCATAGGTTCTGGTGGAAGTACACATCCTCCTTTACTAGCTGATCTAGACGATATAGGAAGTGATTTTAGTTTATCAGCTTTTCGATGTGATCAAATAATCAATAATAATGGTGATCTAATAACAACCACCAACACCACCGCAACAACAACAACAACACCAACACGATCATCATTATTACATAATCATTTATTGAAACCATCTAATCATCATAGCTCAAGTGATATTGGTATAGATGTTCATAGTAATGATGGAACATGTGATGAATCGGATGCTAGTTCATTACCTGAACAAGGTTATGATTTAATACATTTAGCACAATTGGTTATATCAACTAGACCGAATCCATTATTGAATGATTTGGCTAGGCAACAGGTAATTTCAATTTATTTATTTTTTCTCTTTGAAAACTTGATTTATTATTAAAATTGCTGATACGAGATAATGATGATGATGATGATGATGATTGAAGGTGAAATGAAAACCTGAATAACAGTCGGACTCAAGTGAAGAAGGACCCACTGAATTAGTGACTAGACAGTTGATAGTCTGCTACAACTCATCTTTTCATCTCACTCCTAGTTATCACTCGATATTTTAGCAAGTTGTATACAGGATATATTAGTTTAAATTCGTCTTTGGTCATTTATCACAATCTGAGTAACTAGGTCATAATTACAAACTCATTTAGACAATATATTATCCAGAGATTATCATTTAAAGCTTTTGGAATCAGAAATAATCTATGAGTAGTAACTTTGTACATATGCGTACAAGGCTAATGATACATACTTCTACTTGATTACTGAAACCTCTGTTAAGCGGTATGGGATTTGAAATGATCACCTATTGGTTGAATGAAACTCAACTAATCAAATAAACCCATTTATTTATGAATAAGAAGAAGACATATATCAGTGAAGAAGAAGAAGAAGAAGAAGGAGAACTTCTTTTCAACAACTTCATTATATCAAACTGTAACAGTCATGGTATTTATAATCGATAATCGGTAAAATGATAGATAATTCCAGTAAAAAGAATTGCTCAGTCAATATACAGATGTTGGTGGTGGAATTTGTTTAAGTGGAAGAAATAGAAAATGGGTCACTGAATAAGGAGGGATAAATTGATAACATAGTGGTGAGATAAGAGATAATACCTACCAATAAAGTGAAAAATGGTGATAACAATAATGATGATGATGATGAGAATTAGACAGACCCAGTGGCTCAATGGTAAGGTGCTGGCCGAGGAACCTGAAGGTAACGGGTTCGATCACTGCTGGTGGGGTCGTGGGTGCGCACTGCTGAGGAGTCCCATACTAGTCGGACGAAACAGCTGTCCAGTGCTCTCAGGTTTCCTTTGTTCCTCCAACTGATGTCAGTCTACGATGAATAACAATTTGAAAGTAGACAGAAGTTTACCAAAATGAAGTGAAGTGAGATGAAATTGACAAAAGTAACCAAAAGTGGATTGTTAAAGCCAAGGTAGACAAAGTGGTTTCATAAAATGTTTTTGAATACAAAGCTCCGGTTTCTGTTCATGTATAGCTGATGCTTGAGCTCTATGCATAAGTGTTGCAAAACGTAGATCTTTGAAGTAGTTCAATTGAACACTTTGTAAATTATTATAAAGGATGAATCTCTAGGTGGTGAATGACGTAATCCTACTAGCTGTTCACACATGGATGAAGTTATTTTTCTTCGCTCACCTTTGGTAATGTTCAGTAACACGTTTTTGGAGGGTCACCTTACAACGTCCAATATAGTCAACTCCACAAGAGCGTGTGAACTTGTAGATACACATATAGATGTGGACATAATTGGAAGCCTATCTTTCACGCATTATCCAATCAGATGGCAGGCGGTTGGAGAACATCAATCTCAGCTACTTATTATAGTGCCATTAAGATTCATAAAGCAGGTTATCCCATTCAGTATATAGTAGATTTTAGAAACACTCCAATTCACGAGCTGTCTAAATACTCAGCAATAATGTTATTATTATTTTGTCCCTTGGGTTCCGAATGGAACATACTGCTTCAGTAGCAGGTCTCTATTCCACTCTCTTCTCTGAACTCTTTTCAACCTGGCTCCACGACTGCCCACAAGCTCTCTCTTCTTGATGTTACAATGGGAACTATTAAATTAAGTAATGAATGTTTTTTTTAATTTTTTTTTACACTGTTCGAGTATTTCTCTATTTCTCTTATTATTTATCATATTTTAGGCAAGTTCAAAAAAGGCAACAAATTAGTGAAACTACTCTCCCTCCCCCCCCCCCGCTAATGTATTTGTATTTTTTTTGTATCTCTATTCTATATTGACAATCATTCTATTTCCATAATAATATTAAACCGTGATATTTCAAAGTGGCCTTTATTCTTTGAAGAAGATGGATCTCGTTTGAAATTTCGCTATTGTTCTCAACTAGTCATCTAAGCCCCTTATTCAATAATTCATACATACACACACACACACACACACGTATCACCACCACCACCACCATTAATCACTGATGTTACTGTTGCCAATACCTACAGCTCTATATTAATCGATATTGAAATTCTGTACAGTTTTTTTTATTGGTTATAATGCATAGAAATATAAAATGGATGGGGAACCATTTCTGTTGTTGTTGTTGTTCATTTCCCTTCTCGTTTTCTTTCTGCATTTGTATACCATCATCATCATCATCACAATCCTACTATTGTTCATCATACATTGACTATTGAATAGTAATTATATAAAGTCATAATAATTACTTTTACTAACTAATATATAAACATTTATTACATAACTAAAGATAGAAAGGAAACAATAGTAATCGAAAACAAAAAAACCTGTCTCAATTCAATATATAAAGTTATCTAATTAGTAATACTGTGGGACAGACGTACGGCAATTGAACAATTGAACACTTGAAACATTGAACACTTTGTGTTTTAAAACAAAAACACTCCACAATTTTATTCATTATTTATTTGTATTCTTATTATTACACATTTTAGGAGGATTCAATGTAGGTGTATATATACTTATACTTATATTCAAGAAACAATGTAGGAAAAATGTTATGACCTTGAAAAGGGAAACAAATAAAACAATTTTTTTCTTTGAAATATCTTAATGTTTATGAAAATTATTAGGAATTATGTGTTTTTACTCAATCAATTGTCTTGATTTTTTTCCCTCTTTTTTCCAATATACACTGATCCTTTTTGTTACTTTCAAGCCTCTGTATGTATGTGGTTCGATGTGGTGAAAGCCAAATCCCTTTTGACTCTTTATCTATACTATTCATCTTTCAATCTTCTGTACTTTACGCGCAATTTTTTTTTTTCAAAAAAAAATTATCTATTATGTAATATTTATTAAATAGGTATAAAAATAAATGATCAATGCATACTGTTCAATAATAAAATAAAAATAATGATTCGAGTTCTTCTTCTATCAGACACTATTTAGGACTGTTCAGTTAGTGTTAGTGTTGTCCTTTCCCTCCCCCTAGGAACCATTACTTCATGCGGTAGAGTGTCCCACTCCTGATACAGACGAGTATAGTACTGTTAGGTGAAGATGCTGATAAGATGTAGAGTCTTCTGAACACTTTGAGTGGGAATTTAAGAATGTTTGGGATGCGTTTCACACCATCCAGGACTGGTCTTCAGCGGTGCCTCACCACAGCTAATAATAAAGAGTGGAGAGGTGGTTGAGTGTGTTGACTACTTCACTTACCTGCGAAGTAGGATCAGCACTGGTGGCTCAGTGCCCGACGAAATCTCTGCATGGATACAAAAGCCTCGATTGGCTTTCGCCAACTTACGCCACCTATACTGCCACCGTGATATTCGTTTGTCTATTAAGGGTCGCGTGTACTACACAGCAGTCCGCTCTGTTCTACTCTATGACTGTGAAACATGGCCATTGAAAGTGGAGGATACAAAAAGGCTTCAGGTGTTTGACCACCATTGCCTTAGTAGTATAGGACGTATTCCGTGGTGTCACCACATGAGTAACGCAGAAGTCAGGTGTAGAGTTTTAGGGAGAAGAGGTAAGTCAGTTGACGAGGTTGTGAACCTTCATCAACTGAGATGGTTGGGACACGTACTACGTATGCCTAGTCACTGATTGCCTCGTCACACAATGTTGGCTGACGTGGGTCCAGGCTGGAAAAAGGCCCGAGGTGGCCAGACTAAAACATAACACCAATGTATGAAGTCTCTGACTGTTGGTTTAAGCCATGTAGGACGATGCAGGGTCCGCGGGACAAGAGGAACCAGTGGTTGGAGACCCTAGGTGATATGGCTCAGAACCGATGTCAGTGGCGCAGATGTATACACACATTATCCTCATCTTAACGACACTATACCGAATCTCACCATTTTGTCACTCCTCTTTTCTTTCTTCTCCTACTTTATATTTTTTTGGCTGCATTCTCTTATCTTGACCCTTCACCTCACTACTTTTCTACTTGTTGTAGTGATGTGAGGTGTGGCAACTCGGAGACCGTTACGCTGTAATGCCTGGTCCTATGTTCATATTGACTGATTCATTGATTGATACAGACGAGAATAGTTTAATACTATGACTTGTAATTTCTCATCTGGTGGTAAAATTAGCATCGATGTTCAAATATACTCATCCATAATAATAACATCACTGGACATTGCACTGACCCAACCAGCCATCATATTGCATCTAAACCTAAAAACTCAATTAGAGATAAGCTTCCTCGACTGGCTTAAGGATCCGATAGAATCAACTAAGCCTTTCTCAAACATCTATAACTCTGTGTTCACTTTTGTCCTTCGTACATATCATTTCTACTCTGTAAAACAAGGCTCTAACTAGTACTGGTTTGTAATTCACTGAACAAAAGCTGCTGAACTTCAGATATATCTCAATCTATGTACCCTTCTTCTGCTGCTGCTACTGCACAAACCTTTGAAGATTACCATCCATTCTGCTTTGTATAATAAGACAGAGTCAAGAAAATAGAAGTTACCATAGTTTTCCTGCTCCATATCAAACTCATTACGAGTAGAAGAGTCATTAAAAAACCCTCAAAATTGGATATATGCGGAGTAAAATGTTTTGTCAATCGCATGTAGATTAACTGTAAACATATGCATTCACCAGTACCTGACTCAATAAACTCACTATGGTTATTCTATCAATTATCCAGAAAAAATAACTAAACTAGAATGGGATATAAATCGTACAGATTAATGAAGGACGTTTGAACTTTCCAATTTCCTAGCCGACTAATGAACCACCTTCATCGATCATCCAACCAAATCAACATAAGACTAGGCATTACTGTGTAGCGGCCCGAGTTGCCACACCTCATATCAGTGCGTTAAGTAAAAAGGCACTGAAGTGGAAAATGAAGATAAGAAAATGCAGCCAAAAGAAATATAAAGTACGAAAAGAGAGAAAGGAGGAATGAGAAAATGGTGAGGTTCGGTATAGCGTCGTTAAGATGAGGATAATGTGTGTGTATGTATACATCTGCGCCACTGACATCGGTTCTGAGCCATATCACCTACAGTCAGTCTCGAACTACCAGTGGTCCTTCTTGTCCCGTGGACCCAACCGGCTAGTCTACATCGCCCCACATGGCTCAAACCAACAGTAAACGACTTCATATATTCATGGCATGTTTTAGTCTGGCCATCTCGCGCCTTTTTCCAGCCTGGACCTACTTAGACCAACATTGTGTGACGAGGCAGGCGGTGACTAGAAATATGTGGCATATGCCCCACCCAGCCATCTTAGTCGATGAAGGTTCACAACCGTGTCAACTAACTTACCTCTTCTCCCCAAAACTCTACACCTACACCTGACTTCTGCGTTACTCATTTGGTGACACCACGGAATGCGGCCTATACTACGAAGGCAACGGTGGTCAAACACCTGAAGCCTTCTCATTTCTTCCACCTTCAGTGGACATGTTTCACAGCCTTAAAGTAGAACAGATCGGACTGCTGTGCAGTGCACACCACCCTAATAGACAATCAGATATCACGGCGGCACCATAGGTGGCGTAAGTTGGCGAAAGCCAATCGAGGCTTTTGTATCCATGCAGAGATTTCGTCGGGCCCTGAGCCACCAGTGCTGATCCTACTTCCCAGGTAAGTGAAGTAGTCAACACACTCAACCACTACACCGTTGAGGACCAATCCAGGAGCAACAGTTTGCATTTCGGTGGTGAGAACCACTTTCCGTTGCGTTGAATTAATCATAGACAGTATGGTTCTCAAAGGAACATGATACTTATGTTATCTTCGCCAGATAATACACATAAAGCAGTTCGTATACATAACTGTCTATACACAACGAGTGATGAGTGAAGGTGGACCACGGTCGGATTCGAACCAGCGGCCACCGGGTTTCTATCCCGATGCTCTACCAACTGAGCTACAATACCCGACTACTGACCGGATTTTTTATTTCACTCCAGCAACCACCAGGTTTCCGATAGTCGCTGGTTCAAATCCGACCGCGGTTTGAATTTTAATTTCACCCTCAATCATCACCTAGTATAACTACTAAACTGCCAAACTATGGCTTCGATCTCAGATAGTCGAAATTTTAATTCATCTCGTTATTAAAAATTTAGTTCAGTAACTTTGTAATTTGTTTTCCTCTTCACTCCGTTATACTTTTGTTGAAGTTACTCCAACTAGAACAGTAAACAGGGAGTCCTACTCAGATCGTTTTGAAATATCTTACAGTAGTCGACCAATGGTATTTTCGAGACTAAGCGACAGTTACACTAACCTCAGCTCATCATCTTGCATATATCAATTTAACTGTTCCTGCGCAATACGCTACATAGAGTATACGATTAGGCAGATGTATCTCCAAATACGATAACACTGACTGGTTCGCTTTGGAAAAGGTGAAGTGAAAGTGATGAGAAGTTCTATCGTAAAGCCTTTATTGTTTTATATCGTGTACCAAAAAGCGATATCACATATAGCTCCCCAACGCCTGCTCAATATTATTTATTTATTTGTCCTTTGGGTTCCTAGTGGAACATAGGGCTTAAGTAGCATGTCTTCATTGCACTCTCTTCTCCGCAGTGTTTTCAGTCTAACCATAAGTTTTCATTTCTTTCTCACACGATCTCTTCCATGTCACCCTCGAACGCCCAACTCCTCATTTCTCATTCGGGCCCCACTCGACGGCCTGTCGCGTTATGTCCCCCAAACCGTCTTCTCAGTGTATGCCCAATCCATCTCCACTTTCTTCTTCTGCATATTTGTTCGGCGATAGGTTCTTGGTTGGTTCGTTGCCCAGCCCAGAGTTCCTTGTTGCTTATTCTTTCCGGCCATATGATCTTCAGTATCGAGCAAGAGTAGGCGGCAGCTGTTTATGTGTCTACAGTTTGTTGCGAATGCTTTTCGTAACGCGCTAAGTCTCTCAACCATCACATACAAGCACTGATTTGACAAACCCGGTTCTTGTACTTTATGCTGATTTCAGATTAATGAAGGGTGGTCTGTCTTGCTGTCCTTCCAATCCTGGCTGGCTTTGACATCGTCATCTGTGTCTGTGCTGCCTGTAGTTGAAACGATTCTGCCTAGGTAGGCAGGTAGGTGAAAGAAACAACTTCCCTTAGATTTCTTTCGTTGATGGTGACTGATGCTTGTTGTTGTTTGGTATCTTCATCACCTCCTGTTCAACATAGCAAGAAAAAACTAGGCAAACCTAAACTTCGCAATCAAAGAGAACATGTTCGAGCCTTGTTCCCTTCGTACTCAATGAATGAAAAAGTATTGAAGGGAATATTCTTCGTTCAGATTATCTTTAATATCATGATCCGATAATCTTTCTTGAGGTTCTATTGAATCAAGTTTCTATATGAAATGCTTTAGTTCATATGAAGAATAACGAATTCCCAATGACCTACATATATGGCTGAAAAAGATATGTATTTATGTATCATTATCATTGATACTTTTATGCTTTATAGTTCCCGAAGCTATTTCATGTAAGTTTTCTAATCATTACAAATCTTGGCAAAATTGCATGTGTTTCTATCTCAATTAACTTGTCTCATTCATATAAGTTTAGTCCTACGTTATTTCGTTGAAGGCAATCAGTAGGAATCCCCGGTAGACCTCAGGTTTCATGTTTGTTGACAATCGTCAACAAGGCGTATCTACAACCTGAAATTTGCCTCATCCTTCTCACTGAGACTAGAACTGTTGTCAACTGATTCTTAGTTCATTTATTAGCTCCATCATGTTTTCATCCCTTTTTAATCTTATGTAAACACTTTTTTGTCATTAACCAACTTAAGTCATTAATTGGTCACTATTACCTCATCATTATTGCAATTTCTACTACCCATTTATTTATATTTAAAATTTCCTCATGCATTGCAGTTGTCGAAAAACCTAATATATACGAATGTACACCCCTTGAAA